TACCAGTTTTTTATCTAGAAATAAATAATATATTCCCGGTTTCTTACTATTTTAACTTTTTTTTAAAAAATTTATTAAAAATAGTACTAGTAAAAAAAAATTATAAATAAATCTACAGTAAAAGTTATAAAATCTTAAAAAAATCTAAATATTATAATAAATAATAGATAATAGCTATAAAATAATAGTTTTAACTCGGTTAGAATCTATTATAATATTTATAAAAAAAATAATATATCTAAGAAATTTAATTTATTATTAAAAAAAGAAGTATTTAAATAATTTAGTATATAAATTAGCTTTTTATAATTATACCAGCACTTTTTTAATATATTTAATATATTTATATCTTATTATTAAAAAAATAAGAATATTATTTAAATATATAATACAAATAATATTAAGAATATTATATAATATAAAATATATATAGTTTTAAAAAAAAGCAGGTATATTAGTTAAGCTAAATAGTATTATTATATATTTAAAGTAACTATAATATATATAAAATATAGTTTTTTATTTATTTTTTTTTTTAATATAGATATAATAATAGATATTTTAAATATTAATTTTATTAAAATATTTATATCCAGCTAATCGGTCGAAAATTTTAAAGATTAAAAATAATAAATATTAATTTTTTATTATAATTTTATTAAGTTTATAATAATCTATATATAGCTATAAACTTTTATTTTTTTTAAATATAAAAAAAATAAGGGCTTCTGTAGAATTTTTAAATAAATATATTTTTCTATTAGCAGTATTTTTATTAATATAATCTTTAAGTATTAAAAATTCTTTTTTTAAAAAAAAATAAATAGGTCTAAATAAAAATAATTTATTTTTAAAAAAATTAATAGTATAATTCTTATTATAATATTTAAAAAAAATTTTAGATTAATCAGAGAAGAAGATATCGATAAATTTAACTAGTTCTAATAAAATAAAATTATTTTAATAATATTCTAATTTCTTATTATTATCTAAAAGCTATAATTTTTTTAAAACTTTAATAATTATATAAATATAGATATAATTTTGATAAGTCTTAATAAATTTTTGAAAACTTAATTTTTAAATTTAACTAAATTTAAACTATTATTACTTGTTCTAGAAAAATAAATAAATTTTATAATTAAATAGAATAGTTATAAAAAATAAGATTAGAATATTTTAAATAATAATAATATATAGTTTAATAAAATACTATTATACTTCTCTTAAATTAGTAATATCTAAAAAAATATTTTATATTTTATAGCTAATAATAAAGGTATAGTTAATAACTTTAAATTATAATAAAAATTTCTAAAATTTTAAAAAAAATATTATTATATAAATTTAATACTAATCAGATTATATGCTGTATAACTATTAATATCTGTATAGATTTTCTTAATATTAGATATTTATATTAGTATTAATATCTTATCAGCTGTTTTTATTTTATAATATAAAATTAAAACAGAAAAATTAGTTTTAATTTATTTTATTTTTTTATATTACTTTTTTTAGTTTGCAGTTCTTAAATTCGAGCTAATTTTTTTTTTTAAAAATATTAGTTAGCAAGATGCTTAGTACTATTATATAAAAAATATTATAAAATTTTTTTAACTAGATTAGAATAATTAGTTTTAGAATTAAAAAATTAAATATTCTTATAGAATTATAATTATTTTTATAATATATTAGATCTGTTAGATTTCTATTTATATTTTTATTTTTATATATATAAATTCTAATAATAAATAATAAAAAATATTATCTTGTCTTGTTTCTCAGACAGTTAATATATATATTTTTTAATATAATAACTAAAATTAGAAAGTAATTTTATAAAAAAAGTATAATTATATTTTTTTTAATAGCTCTAAAAAAATATTATTTTAAAATATTAAAATAAATATAAAATTTATAAAAATCTTAATTATTTTATTACCGAGCTTGCTCTAGCTGGCTTATTATATTAAACTTAAAAATAATAGTATTTTAGATAAAAAAAATATTTATTTAATAAAAACAAATTATAAATAGCTAATATTTTTCTTTTATTTTAATAATAATTTTTTAAAATAATAGTATTATTTCTACTAACAAGTTGTACTTATATAACTTACAGTCTTAAAAATTTTATAATAATTATTATAAAATTTAAATAATATTTTCTAAAAATTATAATCTAAATTATAGAACCATTTCTGGCGTTTTTAAATATTAAAAAAAAGTTTAAATTACAAAATATCTTTAATTTTAATATTTATTTTAAATTTACTTAAAAAAAAATTTTTTCTGTTACCGAATTAATATTAATTTAATATTATTATATTAGATTTTCTATTATAGTTCGGCAACTTATCTTTTTAACTATTAATAATTTTATAACCGATTAATAGTATTTTTAACTACAGTAAGATTCTTTATTAAAAAATCTAATAGTAAAAATAATAAACTATTAGTAATAAAAAAAGTCTCCGACTCGGAACTACTATTAGAATATAAGAATTATAGTAATATACTATATTCTATAAATAATTAAAAAAAAAATTAGAATTGTAAAAAAAAAATCAGTTAAATATAAAATAATAGTAGTCTATTAATTTTAAGACTAATTCTTACTATCCGAAGGTCTAGCAAGATTCTGAAAGTTAAATACTAAAAAGAATTAAAGTTATTAATATTATAACTGTTACGTAGAAAATATATAAATAGACTGTTAGCAACCCGCCATAGTTCCAGGGGTTATCTATGACATAATTATAAAAATATAAAATTATAATTAAAAGATTTTTTTATAAGTATATAATCAGTCTATTCTTGTAAATAAAAACAGTATTATTTTATATTATAAAAAAATATAAAATTATCTTTAATCAGGCTGCTTTATTTAAGCAGAAAAATAATAAATTATAAACTAGATTAAAAAAATAGAATATTAAGAATAGAGAATTTTATTATTAAATAGCTAGTCTAAACAGTTTTATTATTAATAAAACCAGAAATATATTTAAAAGAATTTATAAAACTAATTAAATTAATAAAAACTAGCTTAAAAAATTAGCTGTTAATAAAAAATAATCTTGCTATCGGACATTATCTTACTATAGTATTTATAATATAATTAGATATATAAAAATAAAATATTCAATATATATTAAAATACTAATTAAATATATTAATTCTTTAATATATAGTATATATAAGCTTTATCTTTTTATAAAAGGCTGTTTGGGTGGGCGCGGGTGCCTACTCGCTTGCCGTGCCCACTTGCTTACCGATTACATTAACGTACGGAACATGACTAAGTGAAATACATCAAATCACTGGGAGTCTATTCTGACGGAGTCAAGAGTGTTGCCTATAATGCTTAGTAAGTGAACTTAGCTAACTATCGCTCCTCATGATTCAATACGGGACATATCAAAGGGTGCCCAGCAAAGACCCGTCAAACGGACTGAAGATATCTTATCCTATATTTCACCGGCAAGCAGCAAGCTGTGTCTTATGATCTTCCCTCTGGACATCCAATCTGTAGACCAATATGTCTATCAATAACAGTGGCCTATCCCCGCGGATTCTGCGCTTTCCGAGATCCGATGAACCCAAAGCGTGCGTACTGCTGCACGTTACCCGTCGTGGTCCTTCCGCACTAGATCTGGATCTTGTTGGGACAGAAGGAGAGTGCCCGTTCACTGGGGCAGGTATGTCGAGTGCTATCCTCCAAGTGAAAGGGAAACCTGCCTCTTCTATCAGTCGCATCATATGCTAATGCTATTCGCTGATAGTACGGCAGTCTCACCTCAACTCGTATCGCTCAAAGAATTATCAAGGTACCGAAGACGACTGGACTCGAATCATTCTCCATGTGCTTGGACAAGCAGAACAGTGTGGGAAGGAGCAGGATTTGCTTGCAGGGCTAGAAGCGTTAGCCATCATAAGTGGCTCCGAAATCCAGGATAAAGAGATAAAAATCGTGATACGGAAGAGAGTACAAACAATAACTGTATGTTCAAGTCTAATCCCGCCTCCACTAAGTGCCCCCCTGACGTTACCAAGCAAAAATTCGGGACTTTAGTATTGAAGCAAAACGACGAACAGACCATCCACCTCTATGACTGGACTTCTATTTCGGCAGAGAGAGCTGGTTTCCTCGAAAGACGTTGTTCAGGCCTCCTGGATCGCTACCGCGCTGCTGAACAGACCATCAAAGATCTCGATGCCCAGCTTAACGAGCTCATAGGCGCCAAGACTCGGCACGAAGAACTGCTAATGAACAACTTGATGCAGCTTCTCAATGAGAAAAAGTTGAAAATCCGCAACCAACAACGCGTAATAGCCACCACGGAGGTTGCTCCAGAGCAAGGTAGATGCTAAACGCGATATGCTACATATTTCTAAGCTGACAAATGAGCAACTAATAGAGTTCCGAACTCAAGAAACACAACCGGGCGGATCTAGGCAAACTACTGCTGCTAAGAGGCGAGCGAATGGTTCGGCTTCGACACCGTCCTATGAGGTGTGGGGAAGTGGTACCGGCTTGGAAGATTCGGAAGATGACCGGGCTAAGCGCCACGATAGCTCTAAAGCGGTGTCAGGCACAGATTCAGGCACAGACAATGAGCCACCCTTGATGCACCGGCCTTCAGGGGAAGAAGATGAGTCCACTACTGACGAAGACATGCCACCCCTGCCAAGTCACGATCCTCGGATAAGCGACTCTGGTCCACAACAAACTCATTCGCAGTCCATAAGCAAAAAACATTTGACTCCACAGCGAAGAGAGCTTCCCTTTCCGAGGACGAGGGGAAATGCGACAGCTACTGTACGAATAGATCGACATGAAAGCAAAGAAGCCAAGGACAACATGGGGGAAACGGATGATGATGAATTATGATATTAACCTAACAGCCAAAGCTCCAGACCATTTTAGGCAATAGAAATGTGGTTCTTGATTGGTACTTGCTTTCTGCATGATCCTTTGGAGAAATTCAAGCGTAGCAGATCTTAACTAATTATTGTGCAATGTAGACACACATTTGACAGACAATATCCCAGCGTTGAGATAAGAATATTCCGGGCTTGCCGTACCTCCAGCTATCATTCAGATTTTCTTATGTACAACTTGACCACTGCTGGTGTGGTTTGAGACTTATCTTGGCGTGATTGGGAGCTTCAAGACAACGCGAAACGAAAGCACAGTACTCAACTATAATAACATTGGACTAGGGCAAAAGCAATAAGGAAACAAGTTGTTTAGGTGTTACAACGACAACGCCTAGACCACCAGACAATAAGTAGAAATCGGAGTAATAGTGAGAAACCTGACATCTAGCCGTACAAAGCCTTTGAGGACATCTCCCCAGCAGCCATGAAGTTTGTCTCCGGATTTCCGGTAGCCTTAGCGGCAGAGCAGCGAGCCATAGTCGGGGAACTGAGATAGAGTTAGACCACAAACAGCAATTTACCTCAAGCAATAAGCATCAGGGGTGGGGGGAACATGTTAAGCACGTACCTCCGGGAAATTGAGTCAGTAAAATAGAAATCATTGATGACTTTCTTGAAAGGCGTATTAGTGGATTGAGTGCCCTTGTTCTGATCAACTAGTTGGACCTTGCTCAATGAGCTCAACGATGTAGGTTCAACCACGTCATATCGGCGCATGACAGGGCTGATCTCTTCCATACGGTCGCGCAGGGCCTCAATATCATCGTAAGGAAGAGGTATGTTAAGGAATTCACTGGCAGCACGTATGATCTTCCAGTCATCGCGGGCAGCCCCAGGCAAAGAAGTTGCAGCTCGAGTAACTTGGACACGACCCTCTGTGTTGATGTAGGTCCCTGACTTCTCAGTGTACGCTGCGCCGGGTAGAACAACATCTGCAAGCTGAGCGCCCCTATCACCATGATGCCCTTGGTAAATGACAAAGGCGTCACTAGGGATTTCGCTCTGGGCAACTTCATCAGCACCAAGAAGCCAAACCATCTTGGGCTTGCTCTGGGTAATTTCTAGAGATGGCGTAGTGAAGCCCACTTCATAGGCAGCTGCACGGGATGCTGCGCGTTGGAGAACGTTGTATCCTTGCCATTCCGAAGTAATGAAGTTGTTAGCGTGTTTCTCTACGAAATTGCCAATGGACTCGAAAATCACTTTGGCATCCGGGTGTTCGGCCGCAGCACTGCCAACGATAATCATAGGTCTTTTGGCCATAGAAAGCTTCTCTCCGAATTTTCCAGAAAGAGCAGCTTTCAAAGCGGAAACGTCTGCCCCAAGGTGCTCGAATTCGAAAGTACTTTCGTATTCCTCGCCAACAAGCCCAATTTCAAGATCTGAGCGAAGATATTGCTTGCGAATACGCGCATTGAGAACGGAAGCTTCATGGCGAGGGTTCGTGGCGACCAAAAGAATTGCATCGGCCTCCTCAATTCCATAGATCTTGGAGTTGAAAAGATAGTTGGAGCGAACATCAACACCGTGCGCAACCGGGGAACTGCCACCTGGCTGATCCAAAGCAAGGTTGTCGGACCCAAGCTTATTGGCCAGATCCTTCATGGCCACTAAGGTTTCGGCATCGACAAGGTGCCCGGCAACAGCCTTGAACTCATTTTCCGTCACATGAAGTCGCTGATGGGCTGATGAAATCTCGGACAAAGCTTGCTCCCAAGTCGCGGGAACAAATTTCCCTTCCCGACGAATTAGGGGCGTTGTGAGTCTTTGAGTCTTAAGGCCATCACAAGCAAACCGAGATTTGTCGTTGATCCATTCCTCGTTGATATCATCGTTCAGCCTCGGAAGTATCCGCATCACCTCCATGCCTCTGGTGTCTATTCTTATGTTCGACCCCAAAGCGTCATGCACGTCAATAGACTCAGTGTGCTTCAATTCCCAGGGGCGAGCACGAAAAGCGTAAGGTTTGGAGGTAAGAGCTCCAACTGGACAAAGATCGATGATATTGCCAGAAAGCTCGGAGTCGAGGTTCTTCTCCAAGTATGTACCGATTTGCATGTCGTTTCCTCTGCCGGTGGTGCCGAGTTCGGGGGCTCCGGCAACATCATTCATAAATCGAACACAACGCGTACAGTGAATACAGCGATTCATAGAGGTTTTGACAAGAGGCCCAATATTCTTGTCTTCGACAGCACGCTTGCCTCCGACCTCGTGGAAACGTCCACGGTCAGCACCATACCGCATAGATTGGTCCTGGAGATCACACTCTCCACCTTGATCGCAAATTGGGCAATCCAGGGGATGGTTGGCAAGAAGAAACTCCATCACTCCTTCCCTAGCTTTATGCACCAGTGGCGAATTGGTTTTGACGTTCATGCCAGGCTGCACAGGCCAAGCACATGATGCCACAGGCTTAGGGGCCCGTTCGACTTCGACGAGACACATACGGCCTGTGAGAAAATCAATATTTGTATCGAAACAGAAAATTATCCGAGCTCAGACATACAGTTACCTGCAATCAAAAGCTTCCTGGAATGGTATTAGCAAAGCGTGTCATTCTGTTATGAAAGACGTTATAATGATGGCGGCTTACTCGTGGTAACAATATCTATTCAAGTCAGCTAATTTGCGTTCACCATGTCTTCATTGAGTACTTATTCTTACCTGGGTACTGTCGCACCTGCCTTTTCACAAGCTTGGATGAGAGCCGAGCCAGCTGTTCAAGTCATGTAAGAAGGGAATTCAGAGACTGCACCAGGGAGACCGAGTCACCTTCTACCGAAACTTTCTTTCCATCTGAAGGGATGCGTTAGTGGAGGCATTTTGAAGTGGCTTCAGCATCGCAGAGACTGACCGATAGTGAGTTCCACCTCGGCAGAGCGAGGGAACGTCGTTGCGAAGGTCCTGAGATGGTTGACCTTTGGGACCCGGATGAGCCGGGCGGCCGCACGATACAGCTGCGGCCGCATAATGTGAGGAGAGTCAAATGTGATAAGGGTGAACAAGAGCGGCATCCACCTGGAGAGTAGGTAGTAACAGGGTGGCAGGACAGGTCCTTTGTTGGAGAGAGCACTTTTGGTCTGGCTCGGATTCTGCCAGACACGAGTCGGGGCGTCACTCGCAAATTGCCGCCCGCGGATTGGTTCGGTTACGCGGCAAAATAAATCTTCCGGGGCGCCTCTTTCACCCCTATAAACAAGCTCTGTCCCTCCGACCTTCTTCTTTTTCCTTTTCCTTTCAGACTTATAAACTCATTTCACGGGCATGATTATTGTAGGTGGCAGGGTTCTGATATCTCTTCCTCCTCTGCTACATAGCCCTAGAACATTTGCACTGAGCTGGAGCTCCTTAGGGCTGCTTTCGTCTTCACATCAGTGAATATGAGTCAGCCTGATGCAGGTATAGTTCTTTACTGACAGTTGCTACATCTCTCAAACCTATTACCAGATATATAAATCAACAACTCTGAGGACATTACCTCCAGACAGTCATCATATGCCGCTACTCAGATTCTAGATGTAGAAATAACATGTATGTGCACTTGAAAGTAGGGAATTGTCACGACCTAATATCTTTCCAAGCCTTGTCGTAGGCACGCCGTCTAACAAAAGAATGGTCGTAGCGCCTTCATCATTCTCCATACAATGATTAGGTACCTCGCAACATTGTTAACATTATTGCTACCTCAATTATTATAATATCCGATAAGACGTGTGCCGAAGTCAAAATGCTATTAAGATGTAAAACGAGGAATGACAGGAATATAAGGCGCAGTTACGCCTAGGAATCATTAGGGCGCCATGTAGTCTGGTTGCCGGATGCCAGGAGCCAACCAAGCGCGGGAAGTACTGCTTCCTCTTGGGCGAACGTAGCCCTGTCCGTCATACACCTTCTTCAAGTCATTCGTATGCGAGAGTGAATCGCCCAAGGATTGATGATCCGGAAATTTGCTTGCTGCTGGAGAGAAGCCAGTGGGCTCTCTGGCTCTCACTGGTGTCCGTTCGTTCAACGGAAGTACCGTTTCCTTGACGCGGAAGTGATCGGCGTTGGCTCTCTGATCGGCTAAATCATCATGGCTGTTGCGATCGTATAGATAGAGCCCAACAAATGTGAGGAGAATCCCAAGACCTTGTACAGGGGTTGTTGAGCTCCCGAACCAAACGATCGCAACAATAATAACAAATACTCGCTTGACCAATGATGCAACGGAGTATGACACGGGCGAAACCATAGATAGAAGGATGAACGCCAAGATGTTCTGTGCAAAATGCGATACACCATTGAATACGAATTCGAGAAAAAGAGCACCATGGTCGAGAGAGCCCTCTTTTCCTGTGAGGGAAATCGCACCGTCCTTCATGAAGTCTGATATTAATGGGTATCCTTCGCAGACAACCCAGATGGGCAGGGTCAGGACAAAAGCTAGACCAGAGCAATAATACAGCAAGTTCAGCTTGTCCAATTTTCGTCGACTTGTCGGCTCAAGGTTGGATTCTGCTCGTGCCGCTTCATTGAACAGCTTCTTCGAAAATATGTTCTGTGACACAAAAACGAGGGCTGCGACTAGCGCACATAAAATGCCGAAGAAATTAGTGGAAAACCCCGTAGAACACGCGAGCATAACACCGAGGGTTAACGGAATGAGGGACAAATACGTCGCTCTGGCGTAGCGAATCCGAAATAGCACACGATATGCCATGACCGTGAAGAGGGGTGATAGTCCCTTGATGGTGTGAACGAGTGAGACAGGTATCTGTGAAGTAGCCATGGAGCTGAGAATATGTCCGGCTAGCTGAAAAATCGCTAAAGGCAAAGCAGTAACAATAATATCGCGCGATGGTGTGTGGATTCCATGCTTAAGTGCTGGTATGCTATCCTTGAGTGAGGGTAGCATTCTGGACACAGACGACAGTAACAGGCACCAGAAAGACACAAAAGCAAATTGTACCATGGTTAAGGTGATTGGCTTCGGCAGCGCATTCAAAATCGATTTTGAGGAGGTGTTTGTCAGAGCCGAGGTCAGATACCAAATGAGACAGAGAGTCTAGAAGCAGGTCAGCATAGCTAGGACATATAAGCAAGCATGCATCATTACAATTAACCTGTATGAGACTGGTGCCTTCAGTGCTTCAGCCAGCTCCTGAGCATTAGCACTCACGCTACCATTGCGAGTCCTAATCGTGCTGATTGTCTCGCTGATGCTCTTTCTTGACCGTTGTCTCGTATTCCCAGCGAATACTGCTTTCTCATCGTACGGAAACTGCCCTGTCTTTCGCGGCTCCCAGCGTGCCGGCGCATATCTGACTGAGGAACCCGAGTGGTGTTCCCTTGAATCCTTTATCGAATCAAACGACTCGTCGCTGAACGGCGGAAATTTGTCTATCGGACTAGTCATGTGCTTTAATTGTGAGCCGGGTGTATTTGCTGGCATCTGTAGCTCTGAGAGCAACACAGACGAGCGTCGCCCAGTACCGGTCACGACCGTCGTGCTCATTCGAGTATCAGTACTAATATTTCAATAGAGGTGCTGTTGCTGGTAATATTAGCTAGGTCCAAGGCAAGTGGATAAACGTAACACCGTACCATAAAAGGTGCAGTCTGGGTGATGGTCATCAAAGCTAATGAGCGAGGACCGATCTTTGCGCCTAGAAGGTAGAGTATCGCACGCGCCACAGTGATGAGATAGTGGCAGTTTCTCGAGAATAGACAAGAATGAGGGACGTGGCATTCGCAATCTGTGAGGTGCCGGCAACATCAGTAGTCTTCATCGAAGCCAGGTTTGGGAAGTTCAGAGCAATTGGCAACAAGCTAGCCTGTAGATAAGTATGGGATAAGTTAAGTAAACGCTTAAAAGGGTCGAAGGCGCAGTACCTAGTAGAAGACCAGCACTACTGCTCAACCAGCCAATATCTCTCGTTGTGTGAAAGGGATCTGTAGAATTGTAAGAGGTAGTTGCCTAGCAGGACTACGTGATACGTAGGGAATATCCGGGTTAGTCCAGCAACGCTAGCAGTATCCGTAGCCGGTTAGTAGCATTTGCCAGGACCGGCGGTGGAGTGCTGGATGACGAATCTCTTATTTTTCATCTGCAGTTAACTACCTAGTAGTTAGTCCCTTCTATGTGTAGGCAATGAGGTTTTGTATGGCTTACAATCTGACCGCCTGCTATCTTCGGCCGTTCTGCCACCCTCCGCACAGACTCCCGCACCCCATCAAAAGTCAAAACACTACAGACTGCGTACGGGGGGCCAATGGTCCCCCCGCTCACCGCTTGTTAGTTACATAGTCAGTCAACTAGTTGGTAAATTAAGTCAGCCAAGTTGTTGACTAATGAGTTGAGACTTTTACTTTGTGCATGCTGTATGTACACTGTACACTGTACTCTGCTCTGTAAATGTTGTGGATACGCCACCCACGATAAGAGATTGTCACCTGCAGTAGCCAGCCATCCTACCCTCTTTATACTTCAAAAGATCTCAGCAGTAATGGAAAAAATAAAGGTGTATACAGGTACGGTACATTATGTAGTACACAAGGTATAGACAGGCCATCAACCATGTATTTAGACATTGTTTACAATCAATACATACTCTATTCAATCAGATAGAATTATGTGCCTTTTGCATACTTGCCTAGAGTATGGAAGATATTCTGGTAACATGATTCGAGAAAGTTGTCTCTCCCAAGTAAACTTACTTGTTACTACAGAAATATACAAAGGCCCTTTGCGCCCCCCCACCTGCTGCACCATCTTATATACATAATACTTATGCGCCGACAGAGTCTTGCTTTTGATCATGCATGATGTATGTATAGCTCTTACTATGTGAGTATGGAAACATACTTAGAGTATTCTATAGAACATAGTACACTTCTTAGGACAGTCTCCTGCTTACTGTACCTATTAAGCTGTTGCAACATTCTCTTACTGACCATCGGCAGAGAATGATAATCATCCCCCTCAGTCGGTTTCTTTGACATACTATTCGGCAGGATGCCACTACCTAGGTAGGCACCTTAATTTACCAACCGAACCCCGCAGATACCTTTCACTGGCAGCGGCCCTTCGCACGCGACTTCCTCCAATCATTGCTATTTCGGGCTTCATTCTATTTGACTTAGGTAGGTACTATAGGTATCAACCAATACTCTCCGTCGCTACTTCCGGATTGTAGTACTAACCCTGCTATACATGCAGTATACAGGCCGGTAGGGACACTGAAGGCTTCATATATCCTCTTTCCGATATTGTGACTATCTACCCTGCCTCTTTCTGGATGGGATCTGGTCGTATATTACCAATAGTTATTGTCGTTCCGGTCCATCCTCAAATAACGACCACCTATACATTCCTTGCGAACGATTGGCATCATTGACTCTCAACTGCTCCAGCCACCTGCTCTAACGTTTGATACTGGACGAGTGCACCGTCGCGAATCTCGAAGAACTTCAATTAGGCGGCACTCGACACATGATGTCTCTCATGTCAATAACATCGTCCAAGCTGAACCGCACCGACAGTGGCCCTCCTCATAGTGTTGCGAGTACTTTCCATGTACTAAATCTTGGAGACGAGGTCGCAGTGAGTCTCTAAAACACGACGCAGTAACTATAAAGTTCTAACAGCAATACATCAATCCTAGAGCCATACACATTCCAAGGTTCCAGCCAGTGTGACGGAGTCTCTGAGATCATCTGTTCCCGGAGGCAGTCAAACATCGGCAGATGACTTTTACCATGATGTCCCATCAAGCAAGGTCAGAATTTCGCGACTAATACCATCAGTCCAAAATCTCACAAGCCTAGAAGCAGAAGTTGGAGCATTTCAATATTTTCTCCCCAAATACCCACACCGAGATGGAAAAGATATTAGCAAGGCTTTCTCCCAAGCCTCAGCCGTCCGAGGCCAAGCTACCCGTGGACCAAAGCCTGTTTTCAAGGATACCTAGCGAGCAGCACTTGCTGAAGCGACATAGCCATCACATGTTTGACGATGAGACGAATCCAGACTTTAGTGATGGTCATACAGACCTTGACAGATCTCCCAGTAGTTTACCATCAGGAGAAATTCCTCGCACATCAACTGATCTGGTTGAAACTGAGCCGTCGCAGGCAGTTCACATCGACATGGCCGAGGTGTTACGTTTGAAGCAGGAACTACTGGCCGCCAACTCAAAGATAGCCCTGCAAGAGCAGGAATTAGTCCAGACTCGAGTGATCAAACATACTATAGACCAAGCACTCGGACCCCCTTCTGAAGCCGAGTTCAATGGACGAGAAGTAACAGAACAAACAATCGCCAATTTGCAAAGTGCATTTAAAGCGTCACAGGCAGGCTTTACCTCTATCCATGACGGCTGGAATACGCAAGATGACTCTCAGTCCGACATGTCTGATGCTCTCTCTGCTGGAGCATACAACAGGAACCGGGCATTTTGGACATCTGCAACCCAGCAAGCGATGAGCACAAACATGAGCCCGATCAAGGAAAGACCTTATGGAGAACCATTCCGTTTGCCTTGCAACAGTCCCTATAGCGAGGACTCTAACAGATTCTGGACTGGCTCGAGTACAAACTCTTGCGTGCCGAGCCACGATGTTTTTCAATCACACCGAGTTTTCTCAGGACCGGCCTCGGGATCTTTCACCCTTGATTCCAATATTCCTGAGGAACAAGCTAGGTACCTTCAGGCTCCAGGGCCAGGGCCGCGGCGCTCATTCACCCAGAATAGCCGTGGTGGACCATGCTTCCCAAGCCACGGTACTCCATGGCCAGCTGCCTTTGCATCAAGTCCCGAGTCAACCCTTTCAAGATCTTCCATAGAAAGGTCCAACGGTGCTTACCAACAACAAGTTGCAATGTATCCAATTCATACATACCATCAACGCCCAATTGGCACCCCACTCTCACCAACAGCCACAGAGTTCAATACGTCTAATTCATGGCAATCTTCGTCGGTAAGAAACGTCCCACCTTTCTGTTGCTTCGACTTGAGCTTATGTATATAGGTGGGCACAAATCCCAGCCAAACATACATTTCACCATTGGAACCAATCAACTACCGACGACTGCTTGACAAAAACGTTTCTTGCGATTGGAAATATATAGTCGATAAGATCGTATGTAATAACGACCAGCAAGCTTCAATATTCCTACAACAAAAGCTCAAGGTTGGGACAACTGAGCAAAAGTATGAAATCATAGAGGCGATTGTACATCAAGCCTATCCGCTCATGGTAAACCGCTTCGGGAACTTTCTCGTCCAACGCTGCTTCGAACATGGAACTCCCGACCAGATCATTGCAATCGCCAATGCTATCAAAGGGAATACCCTGAGCCTGAGTATGGATCCGTTCGGTTGCCATGTGATACAAAAGGCCTTTGACTGCGTCCTAGAAGAGCATAAAGCGGTCATGGTCCATGAACTTCTGCGGCGAATACCAGAAACTGTCATTCATAGGTACGCGTGCCATGTCTGGCAGAAACTGTTCGAATTGCGATGGAGTGGAGAACCCCCGCAGATCATGAGTAAAGTAAACGAAGCACTATGCGGGATGTGGCACGAAGTCGCATTGGGCGAGACGGGAAGTTTGGTAGTGCAGAACATATTCGAAAATTGCGTCGAGGATGAAAAGGTGACACTTGATCATTTCTTCTTTGTTCTCTGAAATTCTTTAGTGGACCTAGAGAAGCTGGAACAGGCTGCTCAGAGGACATTCAATGATCCCTGCTGGATGCTTGCTAACGAGATGCATAGCGCCCTGCTATCGAAGAGGTGTTATCAAAGATCGACATACTTGCCCACGGCCAGTTTGGAAACTGGTGCATCCAGCATGTTTGCGAACATGGTGCCCCACACGACAAAAGCCGCGCCGTTGAGCACATTCTTGCTTGGTCAGTCGATTACAGCATGGACCAATTTGCTTCGAAGATTGTGGAAAAATGCCTGAAGATTGGCGGCTCCGAGTTCCTAGATCGCTACCTTGCTCGAGTATGCACAGGCCGCAGTGATCGCCCGAGAATGCCTTTGATTGATAGTAAGCCCTTGCGTAAACTACTCATTGTTTGTGGCTGTCTGACTTAATTCAGTTGCTGGGGACCAATATGGCAATTACCTTATTCAATGGATATTGATAAATGCCTCACCGCATCAGCGTGAGTTGGTCGCCAGCCATATTAGGTATTCACCCATCTGCTGAATAACATCGTGCTTGATCCTGACGTGACGTATAGAAAACATATGGTGTCCTTGCGTGGCTCTAAGTTCGGTTCCCGCGTGGCTATGCTATGTTGCAACCCTTCTCACACTACTCGTCCCGGGCCAGGTGCCGGCCTTTCGGTCAATCGTTTCGGCAATTTCGGCGACGACAGGTACCAGATACCTGGACAACACGGCGGACGTTTCAGTCGCGCAACTCAGTGGAACCCCAACTACCCGCCATTTCGATGACGACAATGTCAAGAACAAGAGTAGACCGAGACCTATTCTTTCAACCATGTGACGAGAGCTACAAACTAACCTACCGCGTCGATTTGTTCTAGGTAGACGCCTAGTAGCCTGCACTTGGCAACTTTGATCGTTACGCTTTTGAAGGGCTGCGCTGCGCTTGATGCGTGGTTCATCTAGTCCAAGTCGGACGAATTTCACACCTCATTCATTCATATGCGCTCCTATAGCACCATGCCATGTTTTTGTGGCTCTTGATCCAGGACAGCTCTTTTCTATCTACCTGAGGCAAACCGAAAAGGTGAAGAAAAGAAGCTACCCGAGGAATTAGCAAGATGATGTTGATACTATATTACCTATGCTTCTTGTTATTCACCGTTCCAAGTATGAGGAGAAGACAAGGGAGGTGCGGTCAAAATACAGTTGCTTGTACGAGAGGTTGGTTTAGGACAAGTTTATGAATTATTGCCAGTTTACCGGTACTACCTACTTTGCAGAAGCTCTTATTGTTAGTTATGAACTAATATGACATATCGGACTACTGACGAGGACGCAATTGGTCATCCACTAAAGGCAAGGAGTCGACTTGGCTGTTTGAGCAACTTTTTGGAAATCAGCCCGTACTTGTCATTCATCTGCCGATATGCTCGCCGCTTTCCAGCTCCCACGGCTTCCGTCTCCTTGACCTGGCACTTGGAGTGTCTTGGCCAGCGAGTATAGTGTCTGGTATCTGCTGAATTCCAGGTATGGGTTTCCCGGTCGTAATGAGTTCTACTATATGAGCGAACGAGGAGGGATACGCAGGTTCTGCTTGCTTCAATGGCGCATTTGCACTGTCTTCAGATACCACACTGTTGAGTTGCTGCTGGTTTGTAGGACCAGCAGCTTCAGCTGCTGTGGGTCTGGCTTGCAACCATAGTTGGTAATTTCCAACGTTCACGGGAGTGGGGAGTTTCTCTTTCCTGAACCAAGAGAGCAAAATAGTCATGGTTAGAGCTATAGCTTCTAAATTTTCGGTAGAAAGTTCTAACCTCGAGAAGTAGAAACATTTAGCCTGTAACGTAACATTATCGTCCCGGTCGATCTCGGCCTTTGACGCAGGCATTTCAGGGTGGCCGAGAATTATCGAGAGCCCATGTGCAAACTCATGATCGTCCTCGAATGGGTAGGAACTGAGTCTTTCGAAGAGCTCAGCGTCCCACGTTTCCTGCTCGACTCCAGGCGGGAGAATTGCTTCGTCTGAAGACTGGATCGAAGCCTCCCACAGAGCAGGTGTGCGCGTGGGGTTCATGACCGTGTTGAGGGGCTAAAGCGTACTGTATCGGACATGAGTGAATGTCAAAGGTGATGTCAATCGATGCGTCAAAGCCAGCGGACCTGCGGCATGTGAACCTGGTTATGTGACAGGCGGTCTAACACAAGACTAGCCGAGGTCTGTCTCCTATTCCGCGATCACTAACTTACTAATTTCAATGGTCGAATCACGGCCACAGTACTTAGTAGCCTGGTCAAGAATAAAGTGGATCATTTGACAGATATAATCAAGTTTGCTACCTTCTAAGATATTGGTACCATCTTCTAATCGCTCCTTAGCCTCTTTCATGACTGGATATCAGCTCGTTCAGATAGTCACATGCGGATCGTAGTGAAGGATGTGCCTACTACATCACCATGACACCACGCCCAAGTCAACCTGCAGGAATAACTGCATTTCGTGCAGAGTGGCCATATGGTAGCAGCGGGTAAAACTGACCCTGAGCCGATTCTGATGAGTCTTTCTGCACCAGCATCTACAGTGTTAGGCTTACAGAGATGTGCAATTCCTGTATGAAGTAGGTCATTGAGCTGGGATATCCCGTAGTATTGCTGACCGATATCGATCGGATTATGCCGATGTATCCATTCTGTCAGCTACCTGAACCAGTCCAGGCGTTGTAGAAGATGTGGTCTCGCTTTGACAGCCAGGGCAATTGTGGACAACTTCGTGAGCAAAAAGGTCACAATCAATGCAGAAATTGTTACGGCACACGGTGCATTCATAGCGACTGCTTACGCTCATCCCTCTAGACTGTACATCTGCGGCCTGCCATTGATCTCTAGGGGGCACTGGAGGGAAAGTTATACCACAAGCAAAGCAGGCCAGGCTACGCGAGGCTCGCGCCCATGGAACTTCGACCCAATTCATCAATGGGAAAAGATGATGATAAGACCGAGCGAGATGCGTGGAAAGGATTAGTGTCAGACTGCATGAAGGGCATTCGGCAGGAAGGCCGCAAACCTTGCTATTGCATCGAGAGCAGGAATAGCCCCCACAAGAAGGATTCGAATGGCACGCGCAAAGAGAAGGGTGGGCTTCGACAGAACGGGACGGAAATCCCATCATCAGGAGGGAGCTTGCGGACTGCCTTTGAGAAAACGTGGCCGGAGGGGTTGTGACACCCATTACCAATTCACGAAAGTGCTGCTCGTTAAGAGCTACGCCGTACGTGGTATCGTCGCCATGATTTGTCTTAGAGCAAAGCTCGCGGCAAATGGCTACTTGAGCAGCAAGGCCCACGATGCCAACACGAATTTTTTCGCTAACCAGAGTTGCTATGGTATGGTGAATATCACCTGGATCAGAGGAGAGCAAGGAACCAAAGATGATCAAGACTTCACGGGTACCGTGAGTGGGAGTGTGACTGTGAACCATGGGTTAGTTTGCGTGGTTCGTGGGGGCAATTCAGCTGTGCCAAAACTCTAGATGGTGCGAACATACAAGAGAGCACCTCGAGCCATTTCAAGCCCATTCTGCAAGCTAGGAAGACCTTTCGGATCATGCTCTCGTAGGGCTTGAATTGCACTGATCTGTTCAGTAGGATTTCCACTCATATCACTAACCCGTACTGCGAGACCATCCCTCAGGCCAAGTACACCCAACTGGGAGATTGGATTCTGTTCAAAGAATTCTCTGACGAACTCTTGGGCATAGCGCAGGGATAGGAGATATCGCGTTGGCCGTAGATCCTTTTCTGCCATTGAGTGTGACAAGTCGAGAACAAGGATAAGATGGCGGATAATGCCTCGTTGTAGTGGTGTGGTGTCCCGTAGAAGTCTGTGAAGATTTTCAGCTTCGCCATACCCCACCTGTATTCAGTGTCGTTTATCCCCCCCCTTGGACATGTATCAAGGGTGAGAGAAAAGAGAAGCTAACCTCTTCCTTTTCCCAGCTTCAAGTAGGCCCTCTACTGTAGAGTTGATCGTGCCATCTGCGCCTTCGACCAAGCTCTCCCAAGTCCTTGAGACCTCCCATTCGGCGCCTCCGCGATTTTTCTTTCTTTTCGAACGCGGCGGTTTAGCGGCTCCGCCTCGAGATGAGATCTGACTGCCATCTACCTCATCCTCGGAGGCTTCCCCAGCATACTCTTCATCGGAATCGGCCATCTTTAGAATTGTGAGGCAGGCTGCGAAGGACGGATCTGGGGTTGGAGCGAACGACCAGGATAGGTGAAGATGCTTGAACGATCGGCTTTGGTGGTTTTGGGGACAAGTGTGTTGTTACTAGACACCTCTTTAGTAGTAAGGCATTCTTAGATGGTGTATACAGTAGGAATATTGAGTAGTTCGACTAGGTAGGAACAGTACTACTGCTGAGCACTCACCTCTCGGCCGTGATTAGATAATAGAATCAACCAGGAATTAACTTACATTCGTCTCCCGAAAAGGGTCCAAGCTCCGTCGGAGCTCCGGTCTGTGTCCTGATGGAACAACAATGATGATCATTGAATGACACTACCAAATCATATACTAAACCATATCTTTCTCACTTTACACAGACGCGACTCGGTAAATCCGGGCTTCGTTTACGTACAATTTCCTCCCCTCCCCACTCTGCCCTTCAGTCTTTGCCTGAGCCTTCTGTAAAACACAATAAAGTAAGATTCTGTCTCAGGCTCCCAGGATTCTTACCCTCATTGCAATCTCCCTTCCGTTCTTGTCCTCCCCCCTCCGGATTTTCTGAATTACTTGTATGTATGCGTATCACCCCATATCTGTATCGTTACGGGTAAATGAGGCTTTGTGGCATGGGCCGAAGATAACCGTAGACATAGATTCGCCCAATTTAGGCTCGCTCGACCAGATCCAGATACCATTAGCATAAGAAATGTGGGGGAGAAGGTGTCCCATTAGAAGCACGGCCGCCACGACGTCGCCAGCCAGATGTACACGTACTGGCGGCAAAGCTCGAATCCTTGGACGATTTCTGGTTTATCAGCCGGTCCGACCAGTTTCCCTCTACTGCCCCTCCTCTCCCCTCCCCTGCTCCCCCTCCTTCGCTTTCTCGCGTTCCCGCCATCTATCGGCTATTTCACTCTCTCCGCGCACACATTTGCTTCCTACTCTCACGATTGCTGGCCATTCGTCCTCCGCAAGGTGTTGCTCTTCTGATTTCCGCACCCGCACAATGGCATCAAATGACAGAGATGTCCTCCCGGACGTGTGAGTTGCAAACTGTGACTTTTGGGTTTTCAAAAGACACTTCTCTAACGATGAGCACAGAGCTGTCCCAGTCCATTACGACGTGTCTTTGTTTGATCTGCAGTTCAGTGATAATTGGGGCTATAATGGTATCGTCAAGGTCAAGGCCAGAGTCACCCGCCCCACGAAAGAGATTGTGCTCAACTCGAAGGAAATCGAGGTTCAGAAAGTCGAAATTTATGGCGAAGATGGTCCGTCATCACCTGCACCGGGCTTTGCCCACGATTGTTTCCTTTGCCATAATATTGACGGCCTCCGTTAGGGACCAAATTGTCCGAAGCATCCGAGATCTCTTATGATAGAACCTCTGAGCGGGTGGCTTTCAAGTTCCCGTCGGAAATTGCACCCTCAGATATTCTTCTCTCGATGAATTTTACCGGAACCATGAACAACGCGATGGCCGGGTTCTACCGCTCTAAATACATCCCTGTTGTGGAACCAGTTGAAGACACACCCAAAGAAGGAGACTTCCACTACATGTTGAGCACCCAATTCGAGTCTTGTGATGCGCGTCGGGCTTTCCCATGCTTCGACGAACCAAATCTGAAAGCCACCTTTGATTTCGAGATCGAGGTGCCCACCGGTCAAACTGCCCTGAGCAACATGCCTATTAAAGATGAGAGGGCTGGACGTAAGCCGGGACTCAAACTTGTCTCTTTTGAGAGAACTCCCGTTATGAGCACATATGTGAGTCTTTCCAGTGATCCGGCAGGGAATCTCTCTAACATCAAATCCAGCTTCTGGCATGGGCAGTTGGCGATTTCGAATACGTGGAGGCGATGACAGAGCGCAAGTATCAAGGAAAGAGTATACCCGTCCGTGTCTATACAACCAGAGGTCTGAAAGAGCAAGCTCGATTCGCTTTAGAATGTGCTCATCGCACCGTTGACTACTTCTCCGAGATTTTCGAGATAGAATATCCCTTGCCCAAGGCAGATCTTCTCGCTGTCCATGAATTTGTGCATACCCTTTCTTACACGATATCGAACAAGTCAACTAATACTGTATAGGCGATGGGTGCTATGGAAAACTGGGGACTCGTAACGTATCGAACAACTGCTGTTCTTTTTGAAGAGGGCAAGTCCGATACCCGGTATAAGAACCGCATTGCTTATGTGGTCGCGCACGGTGAGTCTTCTTCATCAAAGCAATACCACCTCATACTTAACCTGCAATGCTCTCAGAATTGGCCCATCAATGGTTTGGCAATCTTGTTACAATGGATTGGTGGAACGAACTATGGCTTAACGAAGGGTTTGCAACTTGGGTCGGTTGGCTTGCTGTTGACCACTTTTATCCTGGTAAGTTTTGGCCATCACGTGATCATTGTCCCATAGAACTAACCCAGATCCTACATTCAGAATGGAATATCTGGTCTCAGTTTGTTGTGCGCAATTCCCGAGGTAAATCCGCGTGTTAGTTCTATGTTAACCGGCACATAGGCTGAGGGTGTTCAACAAGCTTTTCAGCTTGACTCTTTGCGGGCATCACATCCGATTGAGGTACCCGTTAGAAACGCTCTCGAAGTGGACCAGATTTTCGATCACATCAGCTACCTGAAGGGAAGCTCGGTCATTCGCATGCTGAGTGATCACCTCGGTCGACAGACCTTTCTACGCGGTGTAGCTGCGTATCTCAAGGCACACGCTTACGGCAAGTTGGCAAATGCAATAGGCCTGCAAACATCGAGTTGCTGATTTGAATGGTGTACAGGAAATGCTACCACAAATGATCTTTGGTCGGCTCTAAGCAAGGCATCCAACCAGGATGTAACTAGCTTCATGGTAATGTTCTTCAGTCCATTTGAGCTTCCCTGAACTAATAGGGCGGCGAAGGACCCTTGGATTCGCAAGATCGGATTCCCTGTTATCACTATCACCGAGGAGCTGGGTCAAATCAACATCCGACAAAACCGCTTCCTCTCGACAGGTGATGCCAAACCAGATGAGGACGAAACAACATGGTGGATTCCGCTAGGTATCCAGTCGGCTCGTGAGGTGTCTGACACAAATAAGGGTGCTTTGGTATCTAAATCAGATTCAGTTCCCGGTGTGGGGCAGGAATCCTTCTACAAGATAAACAAGAACCTTTCTGGTTTCTACCGTACCAATTATCCTGCTGATCGTTTGGCTAAACTCGGACAGTCTTTGGACCTACTAAGTACTGAGGATAAGATCGGCCTGATCGGCGATGCTGCTGCTCTTGCCGTTTCTGGTAATGGCACAACGACTGCCTTGTTATCTTTATTGAGTGGTTTCAAGGAAGAAAAGAACTATCTGTCAGCATCCCTTGAACACCGTTAATACATCTTCTTTGTGATCTCAGTCTCTAACGATGTCTATCTTCTAGGATCTGGTCTCAAATCTCAACTTCCATCGGAAACTTACGTTCGGTGTTTGCTCAAAACAACTCGGTTTCATCAGGGCTGAAGAAATTCACCCTTGAATTAGTCTCACCCGCCGCTGAAGAAATTGGCTGGGAGTTTAAGCCCGAAGATGATTATCTCACTGTACAGCTTCGGAAACTTTTGATTGGAATGGCATGCCATGCTGGGCATAAAGAGTAAGTATCTTCACATCCTGAGGCTGCTTAACTGAGACCTTCACTAACATTGAGCGTTAGTATGATTTCCGAGGCAACACGACGATTCCAGCTCTGGAACACTGCTAAAGACAAAAATGCTGTGCATCCCAACCTGCGCTCTGTTATTTTTGGTGTTGTAGTTTCTGAGGGTGGAACTCAAGATTATGTTTCCGTCAAGGAGGAATATTTGAGAACCGATTCTGTCGATGGAAAAGAGATCTGCCTAGGGGCTCTTGGACGCACGAAGAATCCCGAATTGGTCAGGGATTATCTCGATTTTGTCTTCTCAGACAAGGTTGCTATACAGGACATACATAACGGTGCAGTTTCACTTGCTTCGAATTCAAGCACTCGCCATCTACTTTGGGAGTACATGAAAGCGCATTGGGACATGGTTGAATCACGTTTATCGACAAATAATGTTGTTTTCGAGCGCTTTGTGCGAATGGGACTTTCCAAATTCGCCGATCACACCATTGAAGCCGAAATTTCTGCCTTCTTTCAGGATAAGGATACCAGTGCCTACGACCGTGCTCTGGTTATTGTTGCTGATAGCATCCGCACAAATTTGCACTACAAAGACAGAGATGAGGGTCTAGTGTTGGAGTGGCTTCAGGTTCATGGATATGCTTGATTAGTTAGGAACAGTGATTGCCGCTCTCTTGAGGGAGTGGGTTTGCATGACATAGTTGTTCGGTGAGAGCCAGTCCCGTTGTGGCTGGGAGAATCACCCGAGCAATAGCAGACGAAACAGCTGAGATTGAATAAAGCAATACGCAGAGGTGCCTTCTCACCTTGTTCATTGGCTTGTTGGGTGTCTGTCGAGGTAAAGTAGCATTAATGGTATCAGAATGAGATGGTTATTTGTGCAGTATTACAAATGATGATCCGATCTCAGGGTCTACATTGTGGTGGTTTCTGATGGAGAGTGGTTGTACCTCTAACACATTCTGCAGATAATATTACTGGAACATGCCAATGAACAATGTGCCTATATCTACTGCGACCACGCTTACCTTACTTATATTTAACTACTAAGTTAACAGTGAGTCAGTTTACTAACTAGTAGTTATCCCAGTTGTTGGACTTAGTAAGACTTCCTGTACCAGGACAAATCCAGATTGGTCCATGGGCTTTTGAGGTAGGTGGGTGGGTCAGTGAGTGTGAAACAGTTACCAGCAGCCCGCGGCTGGAACCTGCACATTGGGCTCCCCTGCTCTCCTGCAGTCGTCAGCAACGCAACAACCGCCATTTCCAAGAGACCGCCTGGTCACCCTCAGCTTAATAGACAGACGCTCCGAGCATCATTTACAACCACAGCTTGCTGCCACTCTTACTCGCACCTTCTCATCCAACGCATTCAGATAGCTTTCGAACCAGTCCTCGGTAGTCTTCTTCTTTGTTCTAAGCACCTGCAAATTTCGACACATACCTCCACCGTTTCCACCATGAACCCTGAGTCGTAAGTGCCTCGATCCGCTTAGGCCCCGAGCGATTCATCGGGTTGCGTGCTGTTGTATTAATCACCACAAACTCTTGCATCACTTTCCATCTATCGTGCAGTTCCTTGGATTGTCTCTACTGACCGGTCGGCATGTTGCTAATTTGTGTGTTCTCTTAGAGTTGCCCCGATCTCTCCCCGCCTCCATACTCCCTTCCCAATGGCGAGAAGGAAGATGGGCGGCCCAGCGTCTCATTCATAGCTAGGCTGACGCTTTGAGCAGATACGACTACCTCTTCAAGCTTCTCCTCATTGGAGATTCCGGTGTTGGAAAGTCCTGCTTACTACTTCGATTTGCCGATGATACCTACACGGAAAGCTACATCTCCACCATCGGTGTCGATTTTGTATGTGTCTTTCCCAACTCAGGCTCCGCCTTCCCCGTGTACCGGCCTGCTGATAGTATGCCTTAGAAAATTCGCACTATTGAACTCGACGGAAAGACAGTGAAACTCCAGATTGTAAGGAAGCCAGTATTGCGAGATGATGACCAGGGATCACTAATGCATTTCAGTGGGATACTGCGGGCCAGGAGCGATTCAGGACTATCACGTCGTCTTATTACCGTGGTGCTCATGGTATCTGCGTTGTCTACGACGTCACTGATATGGACTCATTCAACAACGTTAAGCAGTGGCTCCAAGAAATCGACCGTTATGCCACCGAGGGTGTCAATAAGTTGCTTGTGGGCAACAAGAGCGATATGGAAGACAAGAAGGTTGTGGAGTACACAGTGGCCAAGGTACGTCGCTACAGTCGCCAGTAGCTGGAGTTTTCCGGTCGGCAACTAATGGAATATGTGAATGCTACAGGAATTTGCGGACAGCCTCGGAATACCGTTTCTGGAGACCTCGGCCAAGAATGCCTCGAATGTCGAGCAAGCTTTTTTGACAATGGCTAGACAGATCAAGGAACGTATGGGAACTGCCACCGTCAACAACAAGCCTACTGTGCAAGTTGGTCAGGGCCAGGGAGTTCAGTCTGGTTCTTCCGGCGGCTGCTGTTAGGCGTCTGTGCTTGTGATTCCAGGTGCTGTCCTTCCAACATGTAACGGCAGAAGGGGAATTACGGGATCCAAGAAGATGAGCTAGAGGGAAGATGTACCGGCTGCGCCCTATCACTGGCTGTCTTCTCAATGCTGGGGTGGATGCAGACCCTTCATGCTAGGAATGGCCATAGGAATAGTTTCATTGTTCATGCTTTAGAAGGCTTGCGTTTCGTCTTTATGCACTGTCATACCACAGATGCACCTACTCCCATCCCCGCCTGCTTTTTGCTGACTTTTCTTTAGTCTTCACTGCCCAGCCCCCAGTCCGCTTCCTTTCATTGTTTCTTGCTTTCATCACGCTGGTTTCCACCCATAATCTTCTCAAGTCTCTATCTCTTCCTTACTAGTGTCTCTCCCACAAGTTTCCATTCGATTGGTCTTTCTTCTAGTAAGTTGGATTGTTTGCCTTGTTTACTCGCCCGGGGTCGATTATTTAATTCAGAGAACAATGAATCTTTAAGCAAAAGCGTCGAACCAGTGGGCTCTTATTACCGCGGGTCCCATCCTTCCTCCTGATCCCTTCTCTACTATTTGCCTTCCGTGTAGACTTTTCTACTCAACTAATAGATTAATGAGTGGCTAAATACCAGTCCAGGCCGACAGATGGGTCTTAAGGGTAACAACGAATGTACAGCTGAGTATAGGTACCGTGACATTTATAGTACTTACCCACCTCTGTAGTGCAAGGAAGGGGGGTGGGGTGGCCCAGGGGTCGGCAGCCCATTAAGTGATTGATTGGTTACCGCAAGAAGGAAATGTCACATGCGAAATTGGCTCAGCTTCTTCTCCGTATTGAATTGCTAAGCCTTAGGTGTTGGCGACCTGACTTTTCCTACTACCTAGTCGCCTCTTTGCATCTGAGAAATTACCTGCCGCCGAATGCAAGTGATTTCATAAGTCCTTAGGTAAAAAGTTTTTTGGGGGGGGGGCTAAGAGTGACTCCTGCGATGTATGTACAGTACAGTACGCTCCAGGTGTGTAACGGACCTCATCTACGATAACGATAACAACGTAGCGTGACTCCGATATGTCATTCTTTCTGACTACTATGCGGTATACAGTACATACTCGGGTGCCGATGTGAGCTACATATGCTTTCATCGCACCAGCCCTAGTCCTGTACATGTTGGCGTATACCGCTGGGATCTGGTCAACATCCTGCTGGGCACTGTCTGTACCTTTGGTAAACACGCGACTGAAACCCGAATTTTGCGGGAGGGGCATCAGCCGAGGCCCAAATTTCGGTAAACGTCATGAGCGTCGTTGCTTTTACCTCCTGAGCCGAGTCATTCTCGCGCCCTTCTACATATCTCGGTGTCTTAAAACTCGACCCTTTCACCTGCCCCCCCCCTTTCACCCTTCTCTTGATAAGGTATCTAACAACCAACTTCCTGCAGCTTTCTATTGTTGGTGTCTTGATCTTTTGCTTCGTTCCTTCCTGCAACGCTCGCCCTTCCTTTACCTGATTCTCTTAGTTGAAAGAATAGAAAGCCCCTCCTTCCAAACTCTCCCAGTCATATCTGTGAGTATTGCAACGCGTTGACTACCTTCACTACAAGCAAGTTTCCTTCTATCATATTAATCTTGCATCGTGCTTGGATGCAGCGTGAAGAGTCCGTGGCCGATGTCTCAAGCAAGCATCCATGAGGAGAAGAAGGGGTTGGCAGTATCCGCTGCCATGCAACAGAGCGATAATATAGCGCATGCCTTGGCCGGTGCTGGAGGCGGCATTCTCTCGATGGCGTTGACGTGAGTAACGCTCCCTGCTCGACTGGGTCTTCATTAACGCTTTGTTTAACCTTAAAAGTTACCCGCTCATCACTCTCTCAACGAGGGCCCAGGTTGAATCCAAGCGGGCCCATTCGACAATCTATGACGCGGTTCGTCGCATTGTCCAGAGAGAGGGACTTGCCGGACTATACTCGGGACTTGAGTCGGCACTTCTGGGTATCAGTGTTACCAATTTCGTTTACTACTATTGGTATGAATGGACACGCTCCGCCTTCGAAAAGGCAGCTGCAAAAGCAGGAAGGGCATCTAGAAAGCTCACAACCGTTGAGTCGATGGTTGCCGGGGCTATTGCAGGGATCGCCACAGTCATGATCACCAATCCGATTTGGGTGGTGAACACCAGAATGACAGCTCGCAAATCTGATTCGGATCAGAAGTCATTGCCTGGTGCTTATCTTGGAAAGGAGCGAGCATCGACAATCGCTACACTGATGGACTTGCTGCGCCGAGAGGGCCCAAAGGCCCTCTTCGCTGGCGTCCTGCCAGCTCTCGTATTGGTGGTCAACCCTATCTTGCAGTATACAATCTTTGAGCAATTGAAAATCATCGTCGAGCGTCGTAGACGGATGACACCCAAGGATGCGTTCTACTTGGGTGCCCTTGGTAAGATACTCGCTACTTCGATCACATATCCTTACATCACAGTCAAGAGCCGCATGCATGTTGCAAGTAAAGAGGGGCCCCAGGAGAGTTTGAATGGGAGTTTGAAGAAAATAATTCAGGAAGAAGGTTATGCTGGCCTATACAAAGGCAAGTGAGCCCTAATTGACGAAGTGCTTTTAGAAAGACAGCTTACATTATTCCAAACAGGAATTGGGCCAAAAGTGACGCAGAGTGCAATTACTGCGGCATTCTTATTTGGTTTTAAGGATGTTTTGTACGAGGCTATGGTTTCCATTCGGAAGAGGGGTCGTGGGATTTCGAAGTAGAGGCTGGCTGTATCACTACGAGCAGTATCGTTTTTGGGAAGGGCAGGAGGGGTTCTGACCATTATGACAGCCTACAGCGAACTTAGGAAACGTTTTCTCCTTAGATATTTCTTACAATCCTGTCTTGCTATGCAGCAAGGGAATCATGATCCAGATTTGGACATTGTCTTTGATGAATAGTTTTCAACGATGGGTCAGATGGTAGAGTGGCCTGAGCTCTTAGTCATGAGTGGATCTAAACCTGACTGATTCGATTATTCAGTCAATGGTCTGGTTGAACTTGCTTGTTCACAGATGAGTAAGTAGTCTAGTATACAAATACAGATGTACACAGTCAACAGCATGATTAGCGACTGCTGGACACTTCTCTCCGCATGTGATACGTACCAATCTCCATCGCCCCACAATGACATCACGTGGCTGAGCAGCGCCACGGGGCGATGCCTATCGGAAACAACTACTGCTCGCTGTATATAATGCACCCCCTCCTATGCATCTACAACACCTATGTTCTCTGTTCATCCAGAAGCCGGTTTCACTTCCCCGTCTGGTATAATTTCAGATGAGAATCCCTTTGACAATTCAACACTGTCTTGTTGAAACCATAAATAAGTGCTAAGCTCACTAGTCTTACCATCTATATCATTCATGTCGTTTGCCCCGCCGCCCGGCCCTCCGACTCCTTCCGTCCCTGAAGGATGGAAGGCTCAATTTGATGACCGCTATAATCAGTGGTATGCATACCACCCAGTCATCGAATGCAAAATGGATAGAGCAAGACTGACTGCGACCTCAGGTTCTTCGTAAACCTACGAACTGGTCGATCACAATGGGAACGTCCCGAAGGACCGAATCGAACAGAACCAGAAATACATGGACCACCGAGCGAGCCGCCACCGTCTTACGATGCGTCGGGTCCTGCTGAACCCTCGTCACTGGCTGCCGCAGGTGACAAGAAAACTGTTGATTCGAGGAACCCATACAAGCCACCAGAATCTGCGCACCATAATCTAGATGATGATGCTCGCCTTGCTGCGCAGCTACAGGCAGAGGAGAATGCCCGAGCTCGTCGCAGGAGCCCTGCGAGCTCTGGCGGTGCTGCGTCTGACTACTACACCGATGGTTCTCGTAGACAAACTGCCGGATATCAGTCATCGGAACCCCAGTCGCAGAACTCTTCTCCTGGACAGGCTCAGCAGCGCAGCAAAGGGTTCTTCAGCAAGTTAAAAGGAAAAGTCGCCGGTAATAGCGGCGCGTCATTCCCTCGGCCGCAGCAACCCGTACCGCAACAGTCTTATGGCTACTCTCAAGGCGGGTACTACTACGGAGGAGGCGGTGTTGGCGCCGGTTATGCCCCGCAACAGACAGGGTATGGTTACCCATCATATCCACCACAGGGTAGCTTTTACCCAACCCAACAACAGCCGCAGCAGCGACGGCATGGGATGGGCACCGCGGGGGCTGCAGCTTTAGGTGTCGGAGGTGGGCTTCTAGGTGGCATGCTGCTCGCTGATGCTGTGGAAGACATGTCGCACGATTACGGTCCTCCCCCAGGTGATTATGGGGATGATTATGGGGGTGACTTTGGCGGTGGTGATGACTTTGGTGATTTCTAATGCATCGCTCTTATTTTCAGCCCATCTCTGTTTTGATGTTTTATGTGCGAACAGGTTTAGATCTATTCCCTGGCTGCGCGAGATGCCCTTATGAATAGCTTATGTGTTATGATGATGTATACGGTTTGTCGCTCGTGCGTCTTAGAATTGTGTGGTCCAGCGCGACAGCCGCTCCTCCCGTCACTGGCCCGCACGTACGATGTATTATCCATAGCTCGCCTACAATTTCACCTCGCGGATACTTTGGGTAGAAATCTCTTGTACTTCAGACCAGAGCATACAACAAATTCGATGTGCCATGTGGGCAATCAACGTTTCCGATCCACATTCCTAGCCTAAATGAGTAACCCAAACTGTCTGCTCGTTTAGGCGAGTTCCGTGGTATTTTTTTGAAGCTATATCGTTATCTTCCTGACGGTGAGGTTTTTCCTCAATAACGATATAGCCGGACTTGATTCATGTTCTTATTTTGGATCAAATTCAAACGCTATAACTAAGCCTCAGATGAAATATACTTACTTCTATATGAGCTTTTTTCCCGGGCGCAAGGCAAAATGGTTCGTGAAGCGTAGCTGGCCCATGCCATCGTTAAGGTAGAGCGAGGTGAAGGGGGATCTGTAAACAGACAAGGTTTACTTGAGTAAGCTAGCTCTAATGTTATACGCTCTCTACCTCCAGAATGAAGGTCGGTCAGCATCCATTTTCCCGCGCTGCATCGTCATTCTGATGCCGCAGGGCCTGCATACCTATGCTCTCCTCCGAGAAGCACTCCCACTACCTCTGCCCGACGCAGTAACTCCGTCAGCACCAGGGGCGGGCCTGGGAGTGGCTCCAGCCATCCACCCCGCCAAGTCGAAATTGCCGGGCGCTCCGCCGCCGGCCATGGCGCTGCGTGTGGCGCCCGTAATCGGGGAGGAGCGAGATTGTTTCTCGAATTCGGCACGCATCTCGGGGTCCACTGGAGCACGGAAGTATTAATAAGGGCAGAACGGAACAAAAAAAAAACACTAAATATGTCCTAAAAGAAAATAAAATGCTTCGGGTGAAGAGAGAGGCAACTCACTGTTTTCCATCAACTTCGGCATGCCGAATGTAAAGCCCAGAGCAACCAAAGCTAGTAGGATCATAGGATTCTTGAACAGCGCCAAGGGCGAGACTAATTGATTAGGACGGGACAAACGATCAGCCATTTGTTATGGTCCATGCCAATGTGTCGCGATTCAGATAGAACATACACCGGGGGCGTTCCTCGTAGAAATTTCTCCGGGCAAGGACTCGGGCCTCGACAGTCACATCGGGCGTGGTTGCGGCAGAGACAGCTCCATCTTGCCCAACAGCAGTAGTGGCATCTAGGATGTACTTCTCTGAGCCTCGGTTGTCCCAAGGGTTCGCGCGGAATGTCTCCCAGATCCCGAGAACGGTTCCATCAGCGGCTATATCTACGCGGTACGGGGCGAAGATGAAATCCGGGGAGCGGATGTCGAGCAGGTAGGATTGGGGCTTCGATTGGGCAGGGATATTGGCGAAGACGAATGTCGCGGAGCGAGTGAGGGATGCAGTCAGCTGCGAGGGCGAGGAGGGCGAGGAGGGAAGCGTGGACAACGTCGCATGAGTTCCAGCGGGGAGAGCGTGGGGATTGGGGAGCAGACTGGATGAGGGAATGGTGATCGTGAGGGCTGAATACACCAGCATTGGTGCAGACAGCAGGATAAGAACGAGTCCCACCAGGGAGTTGCTGGCTGAACGCATGGTGGGCAGCAGTCGCTGGTTGAGGGTTCCAAGGGACTGATCGGTTGGATTGACTAAAGAAAGAGTTGGGGTCGAACTAGGTAGGGAGTTGCAGATGATGTCGTATCGAGAAGCTCTAGCGCCAAGCAATCATTCGGGCCAACCACCGAGGGCTCATGTAAATGTGCTGTGATTAGATATACCTTACTCATCATGAGGCTAACTTCACTATACTAGTCTTAATATCTCTGGTGGTAAGAATAGTGACTCCCTTTTCTATGTATGCAGCAGTAACTGCCGTACAATACCTTATTGTCCCTCCCCAACACACACAGAAACCCCACAACCCCCCCACCCCCCATCCCCCGGGTGAAATACTAACCTTTTACCATGCTCAAAGGCTCAGCCTTGGATTCCAAGATCATTGAAGTGCTAAATAAACTACATGAATGATTGAATAATCACAGGGAAAATATGTACGAGGCAGCTCCAGCAGTCTAACTGGCTAGCATGAGTTTTAGCACATAAACATATTATCGACGTCAATATCTCCTAGAGCTTGGCCTTCGGAGCGGCTTCCTCAGCCAACGCCGTCGTATATAAGTCATCCAGAAGATGGCGATACTTCTTCACAGCCGGAGGACGTTTCAGCTTCAAACTAAAGAGTTTGGATATCTAGTCAGACTTGCGCAGTATGTAAAGAGAAGGGGATTCCACTCACGTCGGCGTCAACAGATTGTTCTCAACTGTAAAAGGGTCCAGCATCAGCGCGCAGTTCTTTATTTTTTCGTAGCCTGCAAGTTTGTGTTTCTTTGCGACGCGGTCGAGATCCCGCAACACCGCGCGACGTATCTGAGGTTCATCCAACGTCGATTTGATGCCGTCAATGTCCGTGACCTCAATGTTTCGACGGAGCACTTTGCTGGCCCACGGAGCATATGATTCGGGCTGCACGCCAAAGATACCCACCAAGAAAGTCTGTACACTATCACCATGGACGTAGCCCTGCGCCAAGTAGCCCAGCTCAGACAGGTAAACGCCCTCAAGACGCTCGGGGGAGATGTATTCTCCCTGCGCCAGCTTCAAGACATTCTTGCGACGATCAATGATGATGATTCGGCCCATATCATCAATGGTGCAAACGTCACCGGTCCGGAACCATCCGTCTTCAGTCATCGCATTGGCCGTTTCTTCTGGGTTTTTATAATACTCACGGAAGATGTTCCCTCCACGTAAGAGCAGTTCACCCCGTGGGAAGGGCTTATCATCGACCGAGTAGTCCATATCCGGAAGAGAGACCAAACAGGCCTCGTTGCATGGAGCAAGTCGCCCACAATTCCCGGCAGTCAAATCTCGCGGGGATTGAGCGCATGCAATAGCGTATGTTTCGGTCAACCCGTAACCTTGGATAATATCGGTACCAGTAGCCACTCTCAAAAACTGGTGGAGGGTCGGGTCCAGAGGCGCAGAACCAGAGACCATCACTCTAGTGCGCTCCAGGCCAAGCGCCGCGGAAACCTTTTTCGACCAGATGCGATCATACACCGCATGCTTTATTGTAGCTTTGCTAGCGTCGGGATTCTCCAGGTTTGCTGTCTTCGCCGCAACAACATGTCTCGACAATGCTCCCTTAAAACCGGGCTGGTCCACGGTAGCTGAGCGAATGACATTTCCGAAACGACTGAACAGTCTTGGAACTGACATGAACCCAGTAGGCTTGAGGACTTTCAGGTCATCGACGAGTTCCAGCATATTCCCATGGAAGTACCCAATTCGAGCCCCCGCCCAGAATGCTGCATGCTCCGACAGCCGCGCGTAAATATGTGCTAGTGGAAGATATGATGCCAGAGTATCACCAGGGGCCTGCGTAGTTACTACGAGGCCGCTTGAAGTTGCCGCGACAGTATTCTCATGGGTCAAAACCACCCCTTTGGGATTCCCTGTAGTGCCGGACGTATAATTTATGGTAACTATGTCAGATGGGGATGGGGGATTGCAGGTACGTTTTGAAAACGCCCCAAGCTCTTCCACCTCCTCGATGGTGTAGATAGATACCTCCAGCCCAGCCGCAATCGATTCGAGGAGCGCGCGCTTAGAAAGGCCGGCGGGTTCCCCGGCCTCCAGAGGATCCATGCTGACAATGATTTTCAGACCGGGCAACAATGGCTTTAAATTCAGCAGAGTGGGAATATGAGGCAAAGAAGTCACGACACAGTGCAATTCGGCGTGGTTGATGATGTACTCCGTAGCGTCTGCCGCGAGAACGTCGTAGATGGAGACCGAGTACAGACTTTGAGACATGCAGGCAAGGTCTATAGACACGGGAATTAGCAAGTTTCCTCTGCCCATATTTGCCAGGGTGCCTCATACCAGTCAGTTGCCACTCTGGGCGGTTCTGGGACCATAAACCAATTCCATATTGGCCAGGACGATGGCAGCCATGTTTCTGATGTAATTCGACCAGACCAGCACCAAAAGCAGTACGTCGCTTCTGAACCGTCTCATAATCCATCCACTGGTACGGACCGTAGGCCTTAACTATCGGATCATATGGGCGCCATCCCAAGCAGTCGCTTTTCGGCACTCTACCGGCGGTCGACTCAAATATGTCATGCGCAGTAGCCACCTGGGAAATCGAAGCCAGTCAATAACAATCACAATGTGGTTCTCATCTCATTGGGGTCCGCGAACGAGCATACGTTAGGGTCTAGTGTTTTTACTAGCTCTTTTGTTGAGTTCCAGGTCCGGTAGACGGGAGAGCGCCCTGGTTTTTCGGTGCCCGGTAGGGCAACGCCGTAAGGTTTGCCTTTAGGGGGCTCCTGCTGTAGCTCGGTAGCGCGCTGGAGATGAGTCGGTAGTTGGGAGGAGAACATTGCGACGAGGAGCGTGACTACTCGATTGCGACCGAGTTAGTAAACAGCTCAACGGGCTGGCAAACCTGAAAAGGCTCACGGGTGGTCTCCTATAACTCAGAGGAAGATACCTCAAGCTCAAAAGCCCCTCAACCTAACAGTAAAGAAGCCGGGTACTTTGCTTGGACAAAAACCCGACGTTGTGTGTCAAGGTGATACAGGGGAGGGAGAGTGCTCGTCAAGGAAGTAGATGTCAGAACAAAGCGGGAGAATGGAAGTGGTTGAGAAGCTGAGAAACAGTGGCTAGACAACGTGGGAGGGGTGGGAGAAGAAAAACCGGAGAGAAAACAAGAGAGATGGAGGAGCAAGAGGGATTGAAGGAATGCCTCCCTCATTCATTCATTCATTTCATTTGCCTTAGGAGAGCAGGGTTTCCGGGGGGGGGGGGCCTGGAGGGTTAGATCTTCCAGTTGGAGGTTCCCCTTTGGCGGTTTCTCCGGAATTCAGACCGAAAGCACGAGTTCTTACTGGTCGGCCCGGCTTCTTCCCCCACGCGACGTCAAATTGGCAGAGTAGGTCCTGGGAGCCTCGGCACTTACTCTTTTCGGCCATCCATTGCGCCGGCCGGGTCCATTTCCATTTCGACTTGCTTTCGCATCCGTCGACGGTGAACTGGTTCATAATCATACTCATGATACTCATACTCATACTCGTACTCCAGGTGACTACCTCGGGATGTTGCTGCAGGAGTTCCTTGATATTACTTCCGCTTCTGTCTGCCATTGCGCATGCTCACAATTTATAGGAAAAGAGATAAAGAAAGCGGAGGAGAAAAAACTGGTTGTCTGACTGCTGCTACATACACGTACAGTATGTTCCACTTCTCATAGAGCTAGGTATAGAATACTCCGGACTCCGTCAACGAGTAGGTTGTGTAAGTCGCTATCCGATGAGATGTTGGAGTGTCTCACTCATCCTCACATGCTTTTTGGTCAATGCCACCACACCGCCCAATAGGCAAAGAATAGATGTCAGGTGGAACTTCACCCCGGGTACGAAGCCTGCTCTTCTGCCCTTTCCTGAGCACGTGGACCTTCATGTGGATCAACGAAGATCGATAATGTATATGCATCACAGGCGCAAATATTAACCAGCCGCGGGGAAATCCAAATGCACGCACATATGCAGGCTTTTTGTACTTACTGAGCACTACCCAGTTAGTCAATCCAAAGATAGTCACAGGAGCAGAACACTATTCCTAAGTGAACTTCGATTCATACCCGACAAATAACGCAGCGTAGGCGGAAGTCACATATATGATACATTAGGAAAGTAATAGAGCTAAGAGCAAAGTCTCGCACCGAACGCCATGCCAATGCTGACATCCCCTCCAAACAGAATATGAATGTTGTACAAATAAGGCTTTGTAGCATGCCCCGAGGGCAAGCACTTGAGGCTCCTCAATGGCTTTCTCACCCATCGTCCGTCATAGAGCGAAGAAACCCGCCTTTCACCCCAATGCAATCAGAACTCCAGATAATTTTATATGTGCATGAACTTTGCAGTATGTATGTGCCGGTCTCAATTAATAGGCAAAGAAGAAAAGAGATCAGTCCGAGATCTCCATGACCGACGAGAACGCAATCAAGAGGGCGCCTGTGCCAAACAAAAACTCCTAGTCAATGAGCTGGTCCGGGCCCGAAATTATCCAAGGACCGCATGAAAAGCCTTCTTGTACCATTTGCTGGATGTCGGTACAGATGTCTCCCACGTCTCATTCTCCAATTCCAACCGGCCCGTGTCAATATCAGCCTCGAGCGGGTGGACGAAAGACGTCCGGTAAACAATTTTATGGCCGACGTAGAGCACCGCGAAAAGAATCAAACTGATATAAGCGGTGAAGAAGCTCGTGACATCGAAGGAGGGAATCCAAGCGGTAAAGCCCTGAGTGATGATAATAAGAACATTGAAGAACAGACCATACCAAGAATAGTACGGCTGCCACAAGGCCTTGTACGGAAGACAATCGCGAGAGATGTTACGAGCCTTCAGGGCACGCATAAAAGCCAGATGACAGCCGTTGAGCGAGGCCCAGGTAATGAAGCCGGCCACACCAGCAATGTTGACCAACCAATTGAAGACAGTACTGCCAGAATTGGAAACGTTCATGAATCCAAGCAGACCGAAAGCAGAGGTGAACGCCACGCTGAAAAAAGGTACACCTTTCTTTGAGGTCTTCTTGAACCAACGAGGAGCAAATCCTTCTTGCGCCAGGCCGATCAGTATACGGCTGCCACTATAAACATTCGAATTGGCAGCCGAAAGAACCACGGTCAGCAAGACTGCGTTGATGATATGTGGCAGCACACGAACACCCGCAAGCTTGGCGGCGATAACGAATGGCGAAGAGTTGGCGTCATTCCCATCTGTGAGAAGATCGTCGTTCGTGTATGGCACGAGAATGCCAATGAAGAAGATAGTGAGAACGAAGAAGAATAGGATCCGATAAAAGGTTTTGCGAATGGCTGCGGGGACTGTTACGCGGGGATTTTCGGTTTCCGCGGCCGCAATACCTACTAATTCTGTTCCCTGATAGGCAAACCCGGCCTGAATAAGTACGGACCAAAAGCCAACAAACTTAGCGGTAGAATCAGGTGAAACACCACTGTAGGGAGAAAACGGCCCCGGATGCACCCAGTAATGGAAGCCTAGATAGCCCTCCTTTCCAGCGCCAGCGTCAATGCAGATCGCAAAGATCATAAAGCCGATGACTGTGATGATTTTGACACTCGAAAGCCAGAATTCCAATTCGCCATAGAAGCTGACAGGCAAACAATTAAGAAGCGTGATGACGACCCAGAAGATGGCGATGAAGACAGCGATATTGATGCTATCATCCCAGAATTGGATTATAAGCCCTGTGGCTGTGAGCTCAAGCGCGTATGTCGAGGCCCACGAAAACCAATAGATCCAACCCATAGCGAAGCCGAGACTGGGGTCAACCAAGCGAGCAGCATAAGCTGTGAAAGCGCCCGGAATCGGAATGTAAGTTGCGATTTCTCCCAGAGACGTCATGACCGAATAGACGATTGTTCCGACGAAGGCATAAGCGATGAGGGCGCCCACGGGTCCGCCATTAGCAACAGCAGTACCACTACCGATGAAGAGACCTGTGCCGATGGTGCCTCCTAGAGCTGGGGTCAGTCTATGCTTGTGGGCGGCACCCTTGCTGCGCAGGGAGGAAAGAGGCAAGATGATTCAGAGGTTCGGGGAAGGAACCAACAGAGTTCACTAACCGATAGCGATCATCTGCAAATGCCGACTTCTCAGCTTCCGCTTGAGCTGGGGCAACGGGTTGGACTCGCTGTTGGCGCCATGCTTTTCGCAATCGAAGTCATTCAGATCCGGCGAAGGGTTCGTTGTGTGAACTTGGACCGTTTCCTCGCCAGGCATCATTTTTCCCTTTCCCCCTTCGGCGGACTTGGACGTGATGTCGACCTCGTTCCGGAAGGCCATGTTCGACCCCTCGACGGTCCGGGTAACTGAAAGTTTGCTCGTGCCTTGCTTGATGGTGGGCAGGCCGGCGAGGTTGTCAGTCGGTCAGATGAGTAGAGCAGACCACGCGAAAGGCAAAAATGAGACTAGGTTCGGAGTTGGCAGGGGAAGAAGAGGAGAAAAATGAACTGGCGGCCACCTGGACAGACTACTCCACCAGGGGGAAGACAGGTTTGATTTGATTGAGTCACTTCAAGACTGGGTCGATCCAGCAGATTTTAACGGTGGGCTCCTCAGTTGTCGGACCACACCGAAGAAAATCCACAGACGCTAAGACGAAATCAAAACAACCCCTCAGGTCCCCAATCGGCCAGAGACCAGGTACGTATTGATGACTTTGGCCGAGATAGCGAACATAATCGAATTGTGTTTCGCGGAACCAGAAGATGTTATGTAAAAAGAATAGGTTAGGGTCGTCCAGCAGCGGATGCAACCCCGGGGGCAAAAGAGGTGAGTCTCCCGCCTCTATCCACCACCTGCACTCTTCGCAATGAGAGGAGGCAATGACAGGCACGTATCACTAATGAAAACGACAACAGGTGTGTACTCAATTCGTTGTGTCGACCATTTGACCTGGGCTTACCCCGAGAAAATCCATCTTGGAGGTCTTGGACAGTCCTTGGCCACCACCAGCAGCCGGGGAAGCCTTTGGCGTCTGTCTAGAACTTGGGCGCAGAATGCAGGAGTAGTCGACTGGGACTGGAAGAGGCACGAGGGAAAGAGGCGCAAGCGTGGAAAAGAGGTGCCACTTTACCGCACTAAAGCATCCTCCAGCTCCCCCATCCATGGTTGATAGTCCTATAGAGCACCGCTGGTTGTGCCCAGGCAACGAATGGGAACCCTATCTCGCAACTGTGCCGCTCCACCGTGTGGGCCCTGGAAAAGATAATCGCCAGCTGGAGACAGAGTTTTCTCTTCTTTTTCTCTCGTAAAGCTTACCGGCTGTTGCAGCGTTGCCACTGGCTTTTCCCGTCATCGGCCCGAGGGGAGCGGGCGGGAAAGGTGAGAAGAGGGCTGCCAGAGAGGGATGCTAATAGTGTCACTCGTACAGTACAGTGCATAGTTAAATGTCCTTCCGCTTTGGTAGTCGACCTAAGAATGCTTGCTTCAAGAGGCGTATCAGAAGGTGTAATCTCCATCTGGGTCGCAATCGATGAAAAACAGACCAGATCAAGGGACGCAGCTGTTGTATGATGGATGTATTGAGTACTTCCGGACGGAAAGAACGGAGAACGGAGAACGGAGAAGTGACGGAGGACCTATGGCTCTTACCGCCTGGCATACTCACTTAGTCTCACTCATAGGTACTGCGTACCATACTATCGCCGAGAACGGACCTATGCGAGGTCGGCAGTGCCCAGCCCAGCCAGCCCTATGGGGAAATGTTCTTGGTTTTTCACTTGATTGCCTAGTAAAGTGACTTATGAAAGAAAACATGATAAGGGATAAATTCGGTGTAAGTGATAAGTCAATGTAGTACGTAGTACGCAGTAACCATCTCACAGAATGGTTCAAGGTTGCTTTAGCACAAAACAAGGTGTACTGTAGACATACATGAGTAGTGAATTGCCGATTATCATCTAAGGTAGGCAATACTAGCTACAGTATTGCTACATAGTACTGAGTAGGTACTATACTTAGTTATACATACAAGCGGTGAGCGGGGGAACCATTGGCCCCCCCCTACGCAGTCTTTTGACTTCTGATGGGGTGCGGGAGTCCGTGCGGGAATACGGCAGAACGGCCAAGAAGAGCAGGCGGTCATACTGTAAACCGTACAAAACCTCATTGCCTACACATGGAAGGGAAGGGAAGGGATAACTTATAACCACTTTACTAAGTCTCTGACTAAGTGAACTTGTTAACTACTCATACTTACACCACTTACACAGTAGCTCATAGTCAATCACTACTACTCTGAGTAGGTTCAGGCGCGGGTAGAGCTCTCTGCTGCAGTCATTTACCCTCCCAGACACTCACGCCACTGGATAAGTGCCTCGTATGACAGTTTATCTTCCTTTCCCATCTTCTTTGATACCCGCGACACTTGCGTGCCAATTCGAAGACTTATCCCTCACATTTCGCCCTCGTACTTGGAGGGTATGATCAAACTGTCACTTCCGAAAGAGGCTTCCTACATCTGACATGCATCAACTACATACACAGTAGTGCATGTAGATGATAGAGGCAGTTTTAAACTTCCCCCCTCAGTGGGTCAACACCAAGCTTAAGTTGATCATCCACTGTAATGTAGTTAAACGTACATAGGACTAGGCTAGCGGACAAGGAATTCTAAGTTTACCTTTGCTACGAGAGCGATTGATACGGCGAAGCTCAAATAGGTGTTCAGGCTATGACTAAATTAAGCATGTGTAACTAACTTACATGTAAGTTATGTTCATTGATCAATTGATGTCATTGAAAACAAGCTTGTGGGATTTGCCACAACCATAATTTTAAACACGAGTCAAGGCTGAAATTATAAGGCTTCGGTTGATTTAAGACATGGGTATCTTGCTACATAGTCTGATATACAAATCCCAGCACATGAACGCCGCGTAGCCGCCCTTGACTCATTAGTCCTTCCACTTCTCAGCTATGAGCGGTATATTTCATATCGTCGTCAATCCTCCCGTCCAAAGGATTTGGGTGGCATCGATAGTCTTGGCGACTGCAAATGAGGCCCTCGCTAAGATGTGAATTGATCGATCCCCACTTCCGTTGTTTACACATTGACATGGCCAGAAGCATACGGGCCGGGCTTCGTACTCGCACTGTTGGATCTTGATCGCATCGCCTCGAGCGTAGCTACGACAGTGGTGGCGACGAAGAGTGCCCTACCAAGCGATTGTGAGCGGGTTTCAATAATTACTCCTCCGACCCTTGTCGGTGTTATTGCAGTCGTCAAGAAGGGTGTCCACCTACCATTCAAATGCCCCAAACACGGTTGCAGCCTGCAGTGCCCGACATCTACTCCAGTGACAGAATTCTGATGGTGGTAGGTAGACCCCCAAGGCGATGAACCCTGCGAACCAGAAGATCATGGTGACTGCTTCGACGGCCACCATGATTAGTATATGGGCGACCCGTGGGAAGTACATTGGTGCGACGGCAAGATAAGGCACGGCAACGAAAGCTGTCCATATGCCGTTGAAAAGCATGAAATTCACAGTGTCACTGTAGCTATACCAACTGATGTCTGTTACCCGTCAGAGACGATCGAATGCTGTCAGGTGGAGGTGAACCAACAGTATGCTGTTAACCCAAGAACGATAATAGCAAAAATGACTTGAGCGACTCGAACAGGAAGAACCCAAGGAAAATTTGTCGCCATGGTCGATGTTGGATGGTTTATCTGTCAAGTTGCTCGGTGGGTAAAGTTGTCTAGGGCCAGCGTCTGGTGAAGATATACCGTGTGCTCTTGTGAATTATAGCCACTGGTCTAGAATAGCAAGTACTAGTAGAGACGGATAGGCTTCGGATGCAGTTATGCTGGGGAACAAGAAAAGTAGCAGAGGAAGAGAGGTGTATTTGTATGCAGATATAGTGGTTTCAAATCAGTGCGGTTGCACAAGTGGCTTGACAACTAAATATAATTGACAGAGCAAATCACCGGCCAGGTCCGCCAAGAAGCACTGGGATTGGGTGTTGGTGCTGTGATTCACTCAATCCTTTCATAGCTACCTGTCTACCTGTCTACCTGTATACACCCGACAGCCCTGAAGCATGCAGTCCAACGTGTTTCTTCTTGTTTTTACTTTTCTTATTTTTTTTAAGGGCTTGGTGGGGATTGTAAGTAGCGGATCTCCTTACCGCATCCGACATCATCATCGTCATCATTGTGTGGGATCAATCGACACTGACTAGTAAGGGATATGCTAAATAAAGGGGGAAAGGATGAAGTTAACAATGATATAAGAAGTGAAAATGGGCAAGAAAAAGAAAAGACCGGAGCCTACAAGGATTGGTGGCTGTTGTTTTCGATGACGGCAATGAACAGGGAGGCGGGCCAAGCATCAATCCATCCATCCATCCATGATTGAACAGACAATGACCTCATTTCCTTCTACATTTGGCGGGCACATGACCACACCAGTTGACTGTCCAAGCCTCAAAACAGCCACCATAGCATGTGGTTGCCTAAAGTCATTTAAGCTACAAGTAGCTGTTTAATGTATTGATATTCTGAGAAAGAGTAAACTAACTGTACATAGTAACTACAGCATATCTAATTTCCGTCCTGCATAGAACTCAGCACAGCACAGTACTCCGTACACTATTACACCATGACACCATTACACCCCAGGTTTACTCACTCCCTTCCTGTTATTCATACTTAAATAAACCTAAATGTTGGGATCTGATCCAAGTAAAGGTCAATTAGATTATATGGTACATACATCAGCTATTCCCCATGTCCTGCTGTACAGTATGCATCACCAACATTGATTCATCTTGAAATTTTGAAAAATGACTATCCTCCACACATCATCCATCCTTCAAGAAGGTTTCAAGCTCATGCCTTCTTTAAGGTCCTCAGACTCTTTGTCAATGCGAGAGGGGGTTTTATTCGTTCTTTGTACGGAGTACCCAAGAAACGTTGTGCAGTACATAGATCGATCTCGCCTTCCCCGCCTTGCTGTACTCCATTCCGATCACGCCATCGCCATTGTCAATCAACTATACCATTAGGGCGGTCGGTAATGTTGAACCTAGTCTAATGATAATCATCTTACCAACGAGGACGTTCTCTATTGCTGTTTGCTTGTCCCCAATCCTCGCAAGGTTGGCTACACTGCCTTTTCCCTCACAAACGTTCGGAATTGCACAATAGATCATATCCCGGTCACCATGTCAGAGTCCAAGCGGCCGCGCTTCGAGACTCTCCAGCTCCATGCAGGGTACCATATGAACTCTACCTCTACACTAGACCAACAAGCTATTGGGCTTGAAAAGAGACTGATGGTGTATGTGCTAGTCAAGAGCCAGACCCTACCACCAACGCTCGTGCGGTGCCCATTTACGCGACTACGGTGAGTCGAGCTGCTTAATGCCTGCGTAACATTGCTCGTTCATATCAGTCCTGACAGAGCATCGATAGTCATATTTGTTCGATGATTCTGCTCATGGAGCTCGGCTATTTGGTCTCAAGGAGTTCGGCAACATCTATAGCCGGATAATGAATGTAAGTAGTTGATCTTCCCTTACGCCGCTGGAAACGGATGAGGAGTCACTGATGGCTACGCCGCCGCCCTTCTCAGCCCACGGTTGATGTCTTCGAGAAGCGAATTGCAGCTCTAGAAGGGGGCGCTGCAGCCGTGGCAGCCGCATCTGGTCAGGCAGCACAATTCATGACTATTGCAGCCCTTGCCCATGCAGGTGATAACATTGTAGCAACCAGCAATTTGTATGGTGGCACGTACAACCAGTTCAAAGTCCTCTTTCCACGCCTAGGCATCCATACCAAATTCATTCAAGGGGACACCCCAGCGGCAATTGCTGCAGCCATCGACGATCGGACCAAGGCTGTCTATGTTGAGACCATCTGCAATCCACGCTACAATGTACCAGACTTCGAAGCTATTGCGAAGGTAGCCCATGACAAGGGCGTTCCGCTGGTGGTAAGTGTCATCTCAAGCCAAGATATCGAATTAACTATGATAACAGAGAAGATGTAGGTCGACAACACTTTCGGGGCCGGCGGTTATTACTGTCGTCCTATTGAGCACGGCGCAGATATTGTTGTACACAGTGCCACTAAATGGATTGGTGGCCACGGAACTACTATTGCAGGTGTTGTTGTTGACAGTGGTAAGTTCGATTGGGGCAAGCATGCAGCGCGATTCCCTCAGTTCGTGGAGCCTTCCGAAGGCTACCATGGCCTGAATTTTTGGGAGACTTTTGGCAATATTGCTTTTGCCATTCGTGTGCGGGTGGAGATCCTCCGTGATCTTGGCCCAGCCCTGAATCCTTTCGCTGCACAGCAGCTTCTCCTTGGGATTGAGACCCTCAGCTTGCGTAGCGAAAGGCATGCAACCAATGCCATAACTCTGGCTAAATGGCTCAAAAAGAACGAAAATGTAAGCTGGGTCTCTTATCCAGGTCTCGAAGACCACCCTAGCCATGAAACTGCCAAGCGTTACCTTCCCCGAGGATTTGGCGGTGTTCTTTCATTCGGTGTGAAGGGGGGTGCTGCGGCTGGTAGTCAGGTGGTCGACGGCTTCAAAATGATATCTAACCTTGCAAAGTAAGTCCCTCGTGTCCTTGAGCCAGTAAAGAGAGCCTAGGCTAACCAACTACTGATAGTGTTGGGGACTCAAAGACCCTCGCTATTCATCCTTGGTCGACAACTCACGAACAGCTTACTGAGCAGGAGCGGATTGACTCTGGGGTCACAAAAGACGCCATCCGGATTTCTGTTGGTACGGAGCACATTGACGACATCATCGCGGATTTTGAGCAATCTTTCAAGGCCGCGAATGCGCTGTGAGCGAGGACATCTTGCTCGACGTGAGTTCGATGAATTGCCAAGGGGAGAAGACTATCTATCGGGAAGGATACTGGATCTGGGTCAGCTCAAATAGCACCGCACTGATGTCTTCGCGACTGATAGCCCCAAAGCGCGACGAGTGACTGATATAAGAACCCAACTTACTTGCCCAATTAAACATTCATGTATGGAGAAGTGGTAAGCTGCTAAAAGTGGAATCTTGTAGTCCATCTATTGCTATTTGCTACGTGAGGAGAGAATGTACCTATGAGCTTACTTTTGCACGATCCCTGATGAATAATTCATTGACCCGGTATGAACAGGCCTAGTCCAGAAGAATAAGCATTCGCAGGACGAAGAGAAAGAAGAAGATGACGATAATGGAGAAAAATGTAAGTCAAGGACACAACGGGATAGTGCGAGGCACATAATAACCACCAAACCCAATCGTCTGATCCAGATTGTGACAACAAAAACATGGGAATGCGAGAACAGCCGGTAGCATAGAATCACCATGACGAAAGCTGATGGTAAAGTCCGGAATGCTATAGTAACAGCGAGGGTTTAATCCCCATCAGAAGCTCTGTGGATTGGCGAGGCTCTGCATTGAGATACAGGAATATCTCAGATTGTGAATGGCTGGTCTCAGAGACAAGTGAAAGTGGTTTCAACCCCCCGATTTTGATGACCGAAATGGAAAAAGCTCCTACGCCGAATTGATTGTACAAGACAAAGCCAACTGAAAATGGAATATGGGAAACAGGTGAAAAAAGCACTGGTATCAAAACAAGAGTGAAATGAAACGGCTAGCAGGAGGTAAGTCATCGTCACTGCAGTCACTGCCATTATTCTCGACATTGCACAAGAGAATTAATTGGCTCATTGACCTGGAGGGGGAGGTTGTGCTGAACCACCACCGGACGGTCCAGCTTGTGGTCCTCCCATCATGAAACCAGGGGGGAACATGCCCATCGTGGGGAAAGAGAAACCGAAGCCAGGCACCGCAGGGGGAACGCCGACATTGTTTGCATTGTTGACATCTCGGTCTGGAACAGGGCCCGCACCCATTCCAGCTGGAGGCCCTTCACGGTCTGGACGCCGGAATCGATCCTGCTGCCCGCGGGAGGAGACAGGGCCGCGTTTGCCGCCAGTATCGGTGGCAATTCTTCTGCTGATCGCTATCGGGGGAGGTTAGTCAAGACTGGGACGGGGAGTAATCTGGAAGTGAGTAGGGACATACCTTTGGAGGAAACACCAGCACCGATCTCAATGTCCGGCTCCTCTACGACCATGCCAGACTCAATTGGCCTCCCACCCGTGCCACCGTATTCTGCGGTGAGCATCCATTTGCGATCCGCCTCGGTTAGTCGATCGACGGGAATCACACTAATGCCGGTTTGATAGTCGCTGCAGTCACGGGGTCCGAATCCGACGCCCCAGCGAGTCTGAGAGATGATGATTAGTGGACATGCCAGAAAACGCCAGGTCACTTGTATAACATTGAGAGCACTTACTCTGAGCTGCATGTCACCAGACTTATATGATTCCATTCCATCCCGGGCATTCACAGCATCTTGACGACTGATCATTTTTATGAAAGCATGGCGCTTATCAATGTTGACAATGCAAGTCTGAACCACACCAAACTTGCTGAACAAAGAACGAAGGTGAGCTTCGGATGAGCTATTGACTGGTAAGTTCCCGATGCCAAGAATCTGCAACAATAAATATTGACTTACGTGACACCGCCCACGAAGAGGGTTCGACTCAAGACTACACAGGCAAAGATTAGGATCACCCAGTTGAACGCAAGAGGGAGCATGGTGAAACAAACCTTTGATGTTTCCTTGACCAATGGAGTAATCCCACTCCATAAATTTGGGCCCAGGAGGGGGTAGAGCAGGATCCTTGCGAGAAGGGGAGGGAGAACGGCGTCTGCGGCCGGGAGGACTGCGCTGACGATATTCATTGCCGCGTCGACCACGAGGATCACCGCCCCGACGGCCAGGAGAATCTCCGTGATATTCCCCGTAAACAGGACTGTCACGACGACGAGGAGGAGAAGCCTCCCGGCGACGGTCATAGCCTGGAGAGTGCGACCGACGACGACCATACTGGCTTGGCGGCGAGCGCATGTATTCGCGGTCCCGATCCCGATCGTAGTCACGTGATTGGGAGTCCGGGCGGGCGCCCCAAGCGCCGATGTTTTGGCCTGCTGTAAGATTAAACGACGGAGGAGCCTGGCCCGGGTTCATCGTGCCCATATTGGTGGCATTCGAAAGGCTAAGAATCTGCAGCGCGGTGCCCCACTGTTCCTGCGGAATACCCTGAGCATACAGGAGCTGCAAGAGCTGAAGCTGCTGCTGCAGTGCATCTGGTCCTACCGAATTCGGTTGAGTTGGCGCTGCAGTCGACTGCGGCAATAGCGCGGCTAGCGGGTTTTGCGCCGCCGCCAAGGGATTGGGGGTGTGGCTCTGACTTGGATTCTGAGGGGGCACTAGGGCTGGGTTCTGGACAATATTACCCAGAGCTGTGAAGGGGGTGACCATGGTACCAGGAGCGTAAGGGTTTACACCAGCCTGCCCGCTTGAGGGTTGTGATGCCTGGTCTACAGAGGACGGCATGGTCTGCAAAACCGTACCTGGCTGGCTTAAGGCATTGAGAGGATTGGCGGGCGCCGCGACTGCAGGTGCAGCAGGTGCAGCAGTGTTCTGTTTAGCCATATCCGCCAGAGCCTTCAGGATACTGGAAGTGTCGGGCGTCTGCTGAGCAGGAGTGGATGAAATCGTGCCATTGGTAGGCTGATGAGCACCTCCCAAAGAGAGGTAGTTGGGTGCTGGGGAGCCTTCGGGAGTAGTAGATTCGACATCTAAAGAGTGACACAAAATTGAGCGGAAGTTAGCCGATGAGTCTCATCAGGAACCTTGGCCGAGAGGACATAGCACTCCCGAGGCAGAGTAGCCTGGGCTCAAAAGATAGAAAGGCTTTGGGTAGTCTTACTTTGCGATGGAGGAGCGTTGAGCTTTTCCTTGAATGAAGCAAGCATAGGGGCAGGAAAGGTATATCCGCGTTCCCAGATGTCAACCAGCTTCTTTATCTTTTCCTATATTGAACGGAGAAAATACGTGAGTTAATTGTTCGTCACCGGGAAACGATGCAAAGAGGAAAGGAAGGCTGAGACAACGAGACCGGGCAAGCATAGTGGCCTAGGACTTTATGCCATGATAGTCGAGGAATATACAGGAGATACGTTGATCGATTCTCAAGCAGATCTGAATGCGGTCTCCTAAGCAGAAGACAGCATCCTATCGGCCCTATGCTTGCCTGCGGCCCTGTGATGATTCCGATTATGGTTTGCATATAGCATCTAGAGCGTACCTTCTGATCGTCGGGAGCGTTGCTTATGATATCAGTCATCAGGATAGGAAGCAGCTCGGTCACTCTGTTAACACCAGCGGCGAAGGTCCCATCAGGGGCAGCACTACCAGATGGTTGCCCTGCCTTGCGCGCTTGTTCTACCCACTGTCGAGTTACAGAGTCTACGACATAGAGTACGCCCAACTTGTGTGTTCCTGGTGCTTTCTTGAAATGAGTGTAGATCTTTTGGATGAGGACGGATTCATTCTGTGGGAGAGTAAAAATGAGAGATATTAGCCTCCGATCCGAGTAGAATACAACGTATGGAGGGTGAAATACCTGGACGTTGGCTGTGCAGAGCGATGTGATACTGTTGATTTTGGATCCAGAAACGCCCGGTGGCTTGAGTGCCAGCATCGACTGGAGATAGTTATCCAGTTCTGCTACAGCAGACGACATGGCTGGTGGGTATGGAGTGCTGAAATTCCGAGCCCAGTACGCAGAGAACAGGATACAGCCAAAGGACTTCTTTTTGGAAAAACTATCGCTTTCTTCAGAGTGTAGCGGTGGACTTCGTACAGAGAGGCGATAATCGCACTGTGCTTCCAGCCAATCGATCTACTGGGAATTCCAGCTGCAGTTAAAAATCTTGTGATGTTTTAATGGGGAATACCAGTGACCTGGTAGAATGGTGGGCTCCTGGTAGTAGAGCAATAAGTGGTTTCCTAAGCGGGCTTCAGGTCGTGTCACTACAGACTTCAAAAGCGTACTCTGGCGACCAAGGGAGGCCTTTCGCCTACAGCTGGAACACGGTCAAGCGATGCTGTCCAGGGCCTTGCGACTCGCGAACGAGTGTGTACAGTATACCCTAGTGTGCTAGGTCAACTGAAAACCGTTGTTGAGACTGTGACGAGGATTACAGTGTCTGAATACTGCGATGAGTGATGAATATGGTGATGGAAGAAGGGAGTGAGAAAGGTTGGATATGAAGGAAATGGCCGTTCAGAAACTTGGAATAAGAATAGGGACGGAAGGAGATTCAATTTGCAGTGCTCAGTCAGGTGAGGAGAAAAATCAGACCGCTTAGGCTAGTCTCTATTGGGTAACACATATGGAGCACCTCTCTCTTCATTTCAATTCACACCTGGCAGCGGGAGATGAGATAACCGTGAATGGCTGTGCATAGATAGAATGCCTTATTCTCCAGGCTTCATTGAAGCAATACATAGTCACGTGTATTGCCCCCTTTCCTGGCTTGGCATAGCAGCTGAAACTGCGTCTCAATTCTGCTTGGAGCCTCGGTGAGTCGAATCTGGTAACATGCCTTGAGGCAGGTTGCTGCCAGCTCCAAATGAGTTTAGGTTGAGACTGAATTGACCTTCTAGGTGATCATGGGAAGAACAATGTAGCAGTAAAGTTAAGGTAAAATCAAATTTTCGATTGGACTTCTCCATGCCACGCCTATATAACTATTATAAATAATCTTTGTATTCTTGTTGATGATTGTTGAAAGCTACAGAGTATAAGTATCTACTATGGTGGTAAGCCTTGGAGGTAAAGAGTTGTAACTTACAGTGCTGTAGTTAGTATATGCATAAGATCGATTGGTATTGTATGCGTCTATCTCATGCCTCGGTCTTACGTCTAAATACCATCATGAATGCACGGGGCGAGGGGGGTGCGTGCATTAGGTAGTGTCTCTTCCACACTTTTGATAGTACAGTACAGTACTCCGTACTTAAGGGCGAAAGAAAAGAATGGGGAAACCCCGTTTACTGTGAAGCTTGGGCAGCCTATTAGTCTATTAGTCTGTGCTATAGGAGGAGGATGGCGACTGCCGACGTCACAGCGAGGGGGTGCAATGGGCCACACCAGCTCCATTTGTAGGCACTCCGTTTACGGATGGACCGGGTGCCGAAGATCGTCGGAAAAGAAAAAAAAGATTATTGAATACACTCCGAATCCCACAGGACTTTAGTCCAAGCGACTTCATGTACAAAAGATGAGTTGAATGTATTGAATTTTGTCTGAAAATTGTTTAACCAACTGCACTATCTGACGGAAGCCTTCGCTAACAGTTTGCCATGAGTTACCCCAGGGCTAAGTTAGTAAGTAGGTACTGTACGTAGTTACTAACAATGTTGGCCTGCAGCCATGATGTATGAACAAAACAGGCTGGATAAGAATTCAACCTACCTACCTTACCTATTAGTATCCTCCGTCCTTAGTCCGTCCCGGACAACGGAGTATGAGCATAACATCCATTCTGGTAAGCTTGCCGCAGTCAACCGCGCCCATCCCCTCAAGCCCCAAACTCGGGACACCGGCCGCCTCGAAACTAGCGTGACCGTATGGTACGGTCCACTTCTCCCTCTGCCTTGCTCTGTTGCCGGGTGTTACCGTACAATCCGCGTACCGGCTGTAGGAGTGTTACGGCCAGATGGAAAAAAAGGCCCGCAAAAGAGCTTCTTCTCCCGACTCTGTCTCTCTATCTCCTTCTCTTCCTTCTTTTTCTTTTCTCTACCGCTGTGTGAATTATACCCCCTCCCTTTCCCTCTCCTCTCCTACATCACCCTTCGACTCGTGATCAACTTGTCTTTCTCACAATGGCTTCCACCTTGAGACTTGGAACCTCTGCTCTTCGCTCCAGCGGCATGGCTGCTAAGCCCGTTGTTCAGTCCGCTGCCTTCAACGGCTTGCGCTGCTACTCTACCGGCAAAGCCAAGGTCCGTCGCGCTTCTGACATCCGTTGCTGCCATGCTCAGCTGTACTGATTCAAATACGCCTTCCAGTCCCTTAAGGAGACCTTCGCCGAGAAGCTCCCCGCTGAGCTCGAGAAAGTCAAGAAGCTTCGCAAGTACGACTGACTCGATTGCCCTTGGCTCGGTCGGATTGCTAATCACCTTTGGTCTATTGCTACAGGGAGCACGGCAACAAGGTCATCGGCGAGGTCACCCTTGACCAGGTCTACGGTGGCGCCCGTGGTGTCAAGTCCCTTGTTTGGGAGGTCAGTAGTCTACACGTAAACGACACCCTCCTGGCGGGACCTGGCTAATACACTGGTTTAGGGATCTGTTCTCGACTCGGAGGAGGGTATCCGTTTCCGTGGTCGCACCGTGAGTATAATATGGCTGTCATCGCGGCCTCGGGCAAATGCTTACAATCTGCTAGATTCCCGAGTGCCAGGAACTTCTTCCCAAGGCCCCCGGCGGCCAGGAGCCTCTTCCTGAAGGTAAGTGTTCTGTTGGCGAAACCGACCATGGTCATTTGCCCTAACGGTTTATCAAGGTCTTTTCTGGCTCCTCCTCACCGGCGAGATCCCCACTGAGCAGCAGGTCCGCGACCTGTCTGCTGAGTGGGCTGCTCGTTCCGACCTTCCTAAGTTCATCGAGGAGTTGATCGACCGCTGCCCCAGCACTCTGCACCCCATGGCTCAGTTCTCCCTGGCCGTCACCGCTCTTGAGCACGAGTCTGCTTTCGCCAAGGCCTATGCCAAGGGTCTCAACAAGAAGGACTACTGGAACTACACTTTCGAGGACTCCATGGACCTCATTGCGAAGCTCCCCACCATTGCTGCCAAGATCTACCGCAATGTCTTCAAGGATGGCAAGGTTGCTGCTATCCAGAAGGACAAGGATTACTCCTTCAACTTGGCCAACCAGCTCGGTTACGGCGACAACAAGGACTTTGTTGAGTTGATGCGCCTCTACCTGACCATTCACTCTGACCACGAGGGTGGTAATGTTAGCGCCCACACCACCCACCTTGTTGGCAGTGCTCTCAGCTCTCCCATGCTTTCCTTGGCTGCCGGTCTGAACGGTCTGGCTGGTCCCCTCCACGGATTGTAAGATCTCGCTCCCACCCTTCCCTTTCAACTCCCATTCCTCAAATGCCTCTAACATGGCGATACCGTACATAGGGCCAACCAGGAAGTGCTCAACTGGCTCACCAAGATGAAGGCTGCCATTGGCAACGACCTTAGCGACCAGGCTATCAAGGATTACCTCTGGTCTACCTTGAACGCCGGCCAGGTTGTTCCTGGCTACGGTCACGCTGTTCTCCGTAAGACCGATCCTCGCTACGTGTCTCAGCGCGAGTTTGCCCTTCGCAAGCTCCCCGATGACCCTATGTTCAAGCTGGTCAGCCAGGTCTATAAGATCGCTCCTGGTGTTCTGACTGAACACGGCAAGACCAAGAACCCTTACCCCAACGTCGATGCTGTAAGTTTACCGCTGCGGAGACTCCTGGGATCTATTTCGCGAAATCAGTATACTAACTCGTCTCTAGCACTCCGGTGTCCTTCTCCAGTACTACGGCCTGACTGAGGCCAACTACTACACCGTTCTCTTCGGTGTCTCCCGTGCTCTGGGTGTCTTGCCCCAGCTGATCATTGACCGTGCTCTTGGTGCCCCCATCGAGCGCCCCAAGAGTTTCAGCACCGAGGCCTACGCCAAGCTTGTCGGTGCTAAGCTGTAGATTTGTCAATGATATGAAACCCCCCCGGGAGGATGTGGAGTTTTTGTTACGAAGAAACACTTTATACTTTGTATTATGCCTATCTTATTCTTGGATTATCCCTCTTTTTTTCTTTTTGCCTGGGATTTGCCAAGTGTTGGGGTTGGCTCGATTAATGTATGATAGGACATGGTTCGAGTGAGCCTAGTAACAACACTTTTAACATGATCAGTCAATTTCCAAAGACATTCCGGTTGCATTCCTGCCTTTCTTCCTATCTTTCTTCCTTTTTCTTATTTCCCTCTCTAATCTATTTGTTTTCCTCACTCTCTTCACCTAATCTGCGTGCCATGTTGTACATGGGCTTTGAGATGGAATGGGCTCTATCCACCCAAGTAGGTAGACTGAAGGGTGAGCGCGGCTGGTGTGAAGTAGACAGACATACTCTACTCCATCATGATTCGCAGTGAAGGATGCGCCTCTTTAAATTGGATTTACTCTGGACGGAGTACTCCGGGAAAGGAAGACAGACCTCGGGAGTGCAGAGTGTTGTCAGTCAAGAAATTGACAATGGAAATCACCAGCCCTGGGCCAGGCCCGGGGTTGTACTGTACGTACTAAGTTACAGGTTTACTCCAGTGGACTCCGTCGTTAGGCAAGGTGGTGGTGGTGGTAGCGGTGGTGGTAGTGCATTACTCCGTGGACCGAAACGGGAAGAAGCGAGTTGAACCCGCCGCAGGCTTTCCCCCCCCCCCCCCCCAACGGTTGAGGTACTCAGCGCCCCGATTTACTCCGGTGCTCAACTGCTGGAGACTCCCTTCATGGCTAGCGTATGGTTTTACCTTTATCAGGCTAGCAACATTACTGATGATGAGCCAATGACCCGCAAGTGACTGGGTCTTCCGGGGTGTTTTGCTCCATCCAGCCGCTGCCCAGCGATCGGGAAGACGAGTCTGACTCCGAGCTCCTGCCTCCAGGCTAATGTGTGCTCATTACTACGGGGT